CCCCCCCCCCCCCCCCCCGAAAATTTTTTTTCATTACAAGCGTGCCTCCCTCTTTTGCGTAAGTGTGGGTCGTCACGAACCCTTGCCACGGGTACATCACATATGAATTCAAGTGTTTAAATGACTCAAAAACAACATAAATCACATAGGAAAAATCAAGAATCCACTCCTCCTTCAAGGCATTTCTTGATTGTAATCGACTCGGCTTGAATTCTGCCGTGCTAAGGAAGAACGCCGCATTAAAATTCGAGAGTTGCCAAGTTTCCATTTTTAAAGATTGTATTTTTTACGACATCCATGCATATTTTTCCTTTAAAATCATCGATATTTAGATTAAAGTGCGTGCAAAATCGTCTGAAAATTTCGGGGGAAAATATTCTGTATTTCGCGGTAAATAGGTCAGTCGCGTTGGTCACAAAATCGTTGTTTTATGCATGATCCTTGTAGTAGATCAGCTAAAAATAATAAGATCTGTCCAAACAGCAACTTGCTACGTTCAATATTAACCGAGATATCGCCCTTTGAAAAGTCTGGTTTTTGATGTCATCCATCGCGGTGGTGACACCCTTGGTTTTATTCACCTTGCTTTCATCCAAGTATCACGCTGAGTAAGTAAAAGCGAGGTGGAAGAAACCAAAGGTGTCACTACCGCGATGGATGACGTCAAAAACCGGACTTTTTAAAGGACGATACAACGGTTAATATTGAACGTAGAAAGTTGCTGTGAAGTTGCTGTGAAGTTGCTGTGAAGTGTGTAGAAGTTGCTGTGGTTTGAAAGAGAGCAGTGGAGGTTAGGGGTCGTAGAGCGCGAGGGAGTGCTGTAAAGCGACCTATATGTATGTATGTAGAAAGTTGCTGCTTGGACCGATCTTATTAATTTTAGGTGAACCGCAATAATCAAGCATCAAAACATGATTCTGTGACCATCGCAACTGAGCCAACACTGGAAAAAAAACCACATTGGATCTAGAGTCCAGACTCTTGAAAACATTGACAAGAAAAAATACTTTTGATTCAATCAGATTTAAGCTTGAATCAAAACTAAATCCGCTTAAATTAAGAGGCTTGGTCCTTGATTTAAGCTGAATTCTGATTGAATCAAGAGGACTTTTTCTTGTCGATGTTTTTAGGAGTCTGGACTCTAGATCCACTGTGTTTTTTTTCCAGTGAATCCGGTTTTTGTCAAAAGAAACTTGGCAACGTCTGAAGGCGCATACGGCGTTCTTCCTTAGCACGACAGAATTAGACACCAAGACTTGGATTTAATGTGCTATTGTCATGTTGCCTGGATTATGCTTTGTAAAATCCTTTCGGACCCGAGCGTCCGATGCGTCTCAATCAAGATGATCAGGATGCATTTCCCCGAAAGGGCAATTGCGCCAACACGAATCCTCGAATGCACTCGACCCGAACTCTAGTTCATTCCGAAAACTTCCCTAAGGCGTGAATGATCGATTATCAATTTTCCCTCATTCGAAGCTATGGCGATGAATCGATTATTAAGGTGTTCGTTGCGAACATCCAGTTTATCGATCCTTTTCCACAGGTTTAAATGACAGATCAATCGACGTATCGCAAAGCACGCCACGCCACTGGCGTACACCGAAAAAACCAGCATGAAAAAACTACCTTCTGATTGATTGAATAGCTTCCGAACCTTGATCGGCCAATATTGGGGCTTCAAAATCACTTCACAAAATTTTGACTTTCACACGGAAAAAAAATTCGTGCCTGTGACCTGAAGTCATAGTAATCTGCTTTATAAATTTTTTGCTCTTTGCTCTGGTTTTTGTTATTGCTACGACTTAGTTTTTCCGGGTATCTAGTCAATGAAGCTAGCGCCAAGCGTATTGCTGGCTGTTGGGCATGTGTGTGAAGCGCGGAAAAATTGTGGCCTCATTACAATGGCCCCGAATTTTATGTAAAATTCGCGCGCTCTACTATCTAATCAATGAAATAGTGTGTTTACTCTTGGCCCTATGGCAACACTGCCTCATCAATCTGGGAGCAATCACAGATGGTACGACGGGAATTCAGTCTGAATCCAGTCTCGTTTGAGTACGATCTGTAACTCTTTCACGGATTATTGTGCGGTGTGCCACTCGAATTCGAAACAAAATGTTTTTTCTTTGTTGGTTTGTTGCCGTCGCGTGCGGTTTCGCCAAAATGTTCAGAGACTGGCCTGACATTCCTCCGCATAATCCAGCCAAAGGTTCGAAACTAATACTTGAGCGTCTCCTTTAAAAAAAAAAAAAAAAAAAAAAAAAAAAAAAAAACAAGAAACGGTCCGGAGGAAGTTGTTTCAGACCCACAGAGCTCCCTGTTCGAATGAGCTCTCCAAATTTCCATTGCTTATTTGCTCTCTAAAAGACAGCAGATTCATCAGGCCCTAAGTCTATTGCACTGGAATTAGAATCGTAATTTAATGGTTGAAACTTCTTGAGAAACCATGGTCTATGGTCTCCATAAGCTCTTATGAAAAACTCTGATATTGTGTCATCCACGGAGGTATATGGCGCTCCACCAAGGTGTACGTCAGCATTACTATAAACATTGCGACCCCTTTTATTTGCATTTTTTGTCAGAGTCCAGTTTACAATACTGCCGTGCTAGAGGAAGAACGCCGTATGAACATTCGAGAGTTGCCTCATTTCCCTCGATAAAATTCTCATTTTGGAGGAAAACTATGAATATTTTCCCTTGAAATTTTTAGGAATTTTCTGTGGAATTGCGAACAAAATTATCTGAAACATTTGCGGAAAAATATTTATAAGTTTACCAGGAAATTCGTATTTTATCAAAGAAAATTTGGCAACGCCTAAAATTTCATACGTCGTTCTTCGTCAGTACGACAGAATACCACCGGGCCGATATCCATGATTTGTTTAGCTATCAATAGTAGATAGTTCCTAAATGAGCCCACTTTAATTAGATGAACTTGCTAGGCCGTAAATGGCGCGAAGCGCTTTCTGGGGATCGGGCTGCAGGGGCGCAGGGGGCATATCATTTAGGTCCGAATTTTCTTACACCGGAACGCAATATCTGTCGATGGGTTAGAACCGTCGCGGCCGGTTTTGTTGATGACGATGACTTTTTTCGCCGACTTTGTTTCGTTTGTTTTGTGAGGCCGGAAATCGATGCAGCAAATCTATCATTTACAGCCTAAAACAATGATAGGTCATTCTAGAAGTTAGGAAAGTAAAAGAAAGTATTCCTTCAATCGTTACGAAATTTCAATAATAAACTCGGTGTATAATAATCATGACACGATGGAAGGGTTGAGGGAACTGAGTATCGAAGACAATTGCATTGTACGTACACGCACTGCGCTTTTTTTCTCGAGCCATAGACGTCATTGATAAGTTGTTAGTCACTGGAAGACGCCAGTATTCCCTTGCATATTTCTACGCCAGAGGGGCTTACCCAGCCTCATCCAGGGTGTCTACCGGTCCCCAAAAGTCCCCAATGCCCCCGATTATCCCCCAAAGTACCCAATTTTCTCGTTCAGGTCCCCAAAAAATGACAGCAATCGTCCGAAACACCAGCATTCTCAAATTTTCGCGCGGCGCGGTAACCAGGAATAAAAAAACTGAAGTGTTGCTTGGTTCGACGTATGTTTTCATCGGTTCAACATGACTTGTAAAATTGGTCGTATAAAATACGCCTTGTAACGCTCCAACTAGCTCCCGTTCTCTTACTATCTCGGGAAAAAAGTCCCCGATTTTCTTGAAAAAACACCCCTAAAAGTCCCCGAAAGTCCCCACTTTTGGTTTTTTATAACTGGTAGACTAGAGTACCTGTATAGGGAGAGTACCGACAGATCTGAAACTCCGAAAGTCCATCAGGCCTTCACCGATGCCTCCGCGAATAAAGTTAGGGCCCAAAAGGGCAGCCAACCTATGAATTTCAATTATCCAGAGCGATTTACTGATACTATTGTTACGAACCGTCCTTTATTAAGCACGTGTTTGACTCAGTTTTTGCATAAAACTCAATATCGCGGAAGAACGCTCATTTCTGTACATTCTTGGCCTTCTTGGTTAGAATTGGAACCTGCAGACTGGCAGTGAAATTTTGTGCGTTAGAGGTTGGTTAGAAGGGTGGCTGCACTTTTGGGCCCTAAGCCCTCCATGAACCGATCTGTCGGTATTCTCCCTATACAGGTACTCTATGGTAGACACCCTGTCATCCTACGCGGTCCAATCCCATCGAGTGCTCCGTGTTCTTAGAGGGTTGTTTTGCATTGATATAGGGTATTCAAAAATTTGGAGACTCGTCCATGATCCAGAAGGCTCATCCATGGATTACTTCTTGTTGATTATCGAAGAATCCTGAAATTCGACGCCCGTTAGATTTTAAGATACCTACCAAAAAAACAAACGAATGTGGAATCAAGCAGGTAGAAATTAACTGACTTTGATCTGTTAGTAGTGAAGAAATTGCTGGAACTTTTTAAATTGGTCCTTAAAATGTTCTTTGAGTAACGTGTATGTTTCTGTTTGTTACAGCTTTAGATGATCTTCAATCGAGTCATAGGAAATTTCGCCTGAGCTCTTGTCTAACGACTCTGATACCAGCCCTAAACTGGTTAGTGCATTATCAAGTAAAAGATGACTTATTTAAAGATTGTATAGCAGGCATAACCGTCGCGGTTATGCATATTCCTCAAGGTTCGTCAACAATTTCTCTCATGTATTCATTATCTAGTTTTATATTCTCGTGTGTATTGCATCTGGTATCGTGAATCCCATTTGATAACTGAGCTTTTGTTGTGAAGGTCGTTTTTAACTCTTTGTATTTTGTAATTGGATCGCATTAAATCAAGAGGAATAATCGTTTCATGAAAAACCTCGCAAATTAAAAAATGTCGGATACACCCCTGATTTGCTGACCAAAATAAATGTAGCAAAATACGACACTGAAATGTTTGATGTTCTTACTTAGCGACACAAAAAAACGACAAAATGTCGAAGTCTTTAAAGTTGAGAAAGTTAATAGTAGTTAAGTTTCTTAGTAAGCAGGTTTTAGCTAGGGTCGTACAGATTGCAATAAATTGAAATTACATTTAAAATTATGGCTACTGCGTCGAAGTGTTGTGGAGTTGCCAACATCTTGATTGAAGGGACACTTATAATGGAAATTTTTCGCTTTAAAATTGGAATAAGTCACAATTTTTCATTGCATTGCAAATTTCCAGATGGGACTCATTTTTTATGGCTTAAAAGCGGAATTTATCGACCAAATAATAAAAAATATTGCAATTCCATAATAAAAAAAAAATGGAACATTATTGCACTCAAATTTTGTTTCAATACTTTCATGGCTCTGTGTCACTTGAGTGAAAGAAAATTTGCTTAACTTTATGAGTCCGAGCAATTCTTAGCTATCTCTCAATTTTAAGGAATTTATGGGCACCTAATTTAATTGGACTACATTTTGCAATTCAGAACTATAATTTTTGCCATAATGTAGAAACAACGTACGCCCCATCAGTTTCTCCATGCACATAAGAGTCTTTAGCGAGAGCCAGACGTTGTAGTTCCGAATTGCAAAATTTGGTCCAATTAATGCATATGATTTTTTGTGGATTATACTAAATAACAAGATGGATTTTTCACCCTCTATACAAACATCAAACTTTTTTCTCCGAAGGTTGGAAGCATTTCCCAAAATATCTTTCATCTCAAAAATTTCCCAATTGAGATCTTCATTCCCTCGTGGAGCTCGGCTGTGCTGCAGATAAACGAAAGCGATGCCTCAATAATTAATTGAAAAGGGCAAACTTTTTCAAATTAAATTGAATCTAATCGGCAAACTCTCGAGGAGGTACTTGATTTTTGCGAGGACTAGTCATGTTCTTTGACTTGGCCATCAAATCTGTCTCGCTAAGGAGAAACGCCGTATGAGCCCTCAGACGTTGCCAAATTGTCTTTGATAAAATGTTGATTTTTGAGGAATTTGTGAATATTTTTCTTCAATTTTTTTAGAGAATTTCATTCACGATCTGATCTAAATCATGTGAAAATATCAACTGAAAATATTCGTAATACTCTTCAAAAGTAAAAATGTTATCGGAGGAAATTTAGCAACTCACAAATTTTCTTAAGGCGTTTTTCCTTAGCACGGCAGAAATGCATTCAGAGCAGTTGATAGCATAATCCTCACAACGGGAGAGGGAACTAAAACACATAGTAGCGATCACATACTCACGGATGGGTCGGAAGTTTCCGCTCCATGCCGTGCTCACTGTCAGCATCATAGCCCCGTAGGAGAACAAATTATTCTGCCGTGCTAAGAAAAAACGCCGTATGAACATTCGGGAGGTGCCAAATTTTCTCCAATAAAATGTTGATTTTTAAGGAAAGTTATGAATCATATTCAGGAACTTTAGTTGAAATTGCGAACAAAATTATCTGAAACTTTGGAAGAAAAATATTTAAAATTTTTCCCCAAAATTCGTGATTTACTGGAGGAAATTTGGCAACGCCTGAAGGTTTATACGGCGTTTTTCCTTAGCACGGCAGTTGTCCTCCAATGTATTCAATTCATTTGAGTCATTGGTCAACGAAATTCAATATAAACACGTTAAGACGACTTTTTAATTTACACCCAACGACCACAGGTAGAATTTTGGTGGGACTCATTTAGTAAGTTTCCCCGAAAGTCTGGAGCTATATACTGCCGTGCTGAGACACCCGTAAGAATTTCTGGGATGCTGAATAGCACACCCTATAGCACACCTGGCCAGACCTCCCTTGCGTTTTTCCATAGCACGTGGTAAGGGCCTAAGTAAACTTTTATGCGCGGACAGCATAGAGTTAAACGGACAATAGGGCTTAACTCAGAAAGTAATTACACCCTCACGTCGGAGGAGCGGCTTTGTATCATCCCTAGTAGCAGTGGCTGTCGAGAAAAGTTGTGAAAAGCTCGTAAATTTTAAGGGAACTTCAAATTTACTTGAAAATTACGTAAAAAAAACTCTTGAAATATTCGTATCAGGAAACCCTTTTTGGGACTTTCTACAAAAAGTTGAAGAGAAATTTCAAGTAAATTTTTACGAAAATTATAAAAAAAATACGTAAATTTTACTTAAAGTAATATTTACGTATTTTTTTTACACTTTTCCCGCGGGCAAAAACGAGGGGAAAAAAGTGGTGAACAGAAAAGTATAAAAGGAAAAGTTGCAGCCCATAAAAATTGAGGATACAGTTTGCCGATTTTTACGTAAATTTTACGTTGTCTTTCAAATAAAATAACACTATTTTTTTTTATTTAAAAGAATTCCTCAAAAGGGTTTCCTGAAACAAGTATTTTGAGAGTTTTTTTACACTCAATGTACAAACTCTTAAAATGTATACATTTTTTTGACAACTTTTTGTAGAATTTTTTTTAAGAGCCATTGCTCCTAGGGGTGTTCGTTTTTGGCATTTCGCAAACACTTATGTGAATGGCGTTGTCTGTTAAAACAGGAATGGCGTACGCAATGCTAGGTAACGTACCCCCTGTGGTGGGTCTCTACATGGCTTTTTTCCCAGTGATCATCTACTCGTTCCTTGGCACCTCTAGGCACATCTCCATGGGTGAGTCAACAATTACGATTTACATTCCACGTTTCATTGTAAGTTTATCGGCCTATATTCCACGTGCAGAGGTTTTGTGCGCAGTAAGTCGTCCCCTCTGGAATTTCAGAATGGCATTTGGAGAAAAGGACAAGCAGTGACAGCCGCCGATCTAGTCAATGGAGAATTTGCATGCAACTTTTTTATTGCTTCATCCGGAAGTGCTTATGAGCGGACTTCACAGTATGTTTTTTTTACTTTTTTGCTGCTGTGGGAAATAGTATAAAAATATATTTAAAAGTGAGAAAATGCACCGCCTTGTGACGTCATCTAGAGACATTTCCGATTGAAACACATGTATTTTAGCAGATTAGATCATTTTGTCATATCTTCTCCAATAATTGTTCACTTCACGAACCAAGGGTATCCTCGCGTTCAGTTCACTCAGTAGTTTCCACTTGAACACGAAATTCTCAAATTTCAGACACTGCAAATTCTCTATTAGAGAGGTCGGACTTGAAATTTTTGACTAAAACTGGAAATTTCGGTGTTCATATCGTCACATTTTAACTTTTAAGGGGTGCGTGTATTAGAAAATTTTACGAGAAAACCAATGGAACTACTTTCAGAACTTCAAAGTTTTGTATAAACGGAGTTATAAGCGTTTAAAGTTTCCAACTTTTGTCCGACCTCTCCTATTGACGCAATCCACCGCGCGGCGGCCGACTCTACAGCCTCAATATCGCCGAGACGCGCCGGGAAAGCTCTTGCGCAAACTGAAAGAACCTAACTGTTCTTCAGGCTAAATTAGCATGAGGAACGGAACACGTAATTATGGGACACTGTGGCTGACCTGGTTGAATAATACGTAGGGAGAATAGCATTATAATAAGTATATCTCAAGTAGCATTTTTCGACGGAAAAATCGTCTTATTCTGAAATTAAATATCGATTTCCCCCGATTTTTTTTTTTGGCGATAAAATCGCTAGGATTATCTGAGCGATTATCCTCGATCTTGTCGCAATTTTATCTCAATTTTTCGCTCGATGAAATCGAAATTTTATCTTAATTTATCACGATTTTTCTCGATAATATTGCTATGAATCGCCGCCGATAAAATCGCGGCCTTACTGTTACCAAAAAAAAGTAGTTAAGTTTAACGCTCCTGCCTTCTTGTTTTTGTTATTTTTCCTCGATATACTTCACAGTAGAAAAAGCACTGTAAAGAAGTGAAGGCCGTCAACATTGAGCACTCAAATATTTTACATATCTGAAACTAAAGCTGCTTAAAATTCAATCCGGGAGAGATTCGTTTTAGAAAATTTTCCGGGGGAGGCCCCGCGGACTCCCCGCTCCACATCGCACAACCTGTCCAGTGGCGTGGCGTGGCGTGCTTTGCGATTTATCGATTATTATGCCATTTAAACCTATGGTAAAGAATCGATTATTAAGGTGTTCGCAGCGAACACCCTGTTAATCGATCCTATTCCATAGGTTTAAATGGCATAACAATCGATATATCGCAAAGCACGCCACGTCACTGTAAATTGTTGTGTTGGGGAAAAACGTCGTATGGATATCCGAGAGCTGCCAACTTTCCTCTCAGCAAGTATACATTTTCGAAGAAAGTTTTGAATATTTTTCCTCGAAATTTTCAGACTTTTTAGACCAAATTACAAACAAAATGTTCCGCAAAATCGGAAGAAAAACATTGACGAAGTTTCTCAAAAATTCGTGATTTCTCAAAGGAAATTTGGCAACATCTAAAAGCTCACGTGAGGGGCTTGGAGAACAAGGTGCATAAGTGCAGTTTTTTTTAAAAAATTGAGATATTAAGGATTTCAAGTAAAACTAGTCTTGATGCATATTCTGCGGAAAAATCGCTCTCAAATTCCAATTTTTATGCATCAAAAAGTCAGTTTGCACTTTCTTTCCACCATATGGATCCATGTAGTTTCGAAACTTGGAACGCGTATTTCTCGAAATAGCAGAAACTGTACCTTTGCGCTTTGTACTCTAAGCCCCTCATCGACGGTGAAACTACCAAACCACGTATCTCGGTTTGCGACGTCGCAGACTTCCTGTCATACTTTATTTTTTAAATGAAAAACTACCTAACATCCAGTCTTGAAAATTTCTGTGATTTTTCCTCTTCGTGCGGAGAAAATTCCGTGAAAATTTCAAGGAATGATATTGATTTGGCCTACTTCAAAAAAATAAAATGTGAGCGTAGATTTTTAAACACCGCAAACGAGATACGTGGTTTGGTAGTTTCACCGTCGTCATGTGGCGTTCTCCCTCAACAAAGTAGTGGACTTGTGGAAAATCGAAGAGTTAACAATGGACCACTAGACAAGGTACGAATTTCAGCATTCTGATACATGTTTCTTCATCAAAATTGCACGTAGGACACGATACGCACAACGAAAATTACCAAAATCAACTCCTGGCGAAGATATTTAATGATTTTTGATGCGTGAATTCAAACCACCCGCTCATGAAAACTCAATGCTCTACGTGCTTCACATCGCGCGCTAAATGTTTATCATGACAGTCTCTGCGATGTAAAAATCCTCAACTTCAATCTTGACTATTTGGCTCAGCTATAGCAAATTACTAATAGTTTGAACAACACATGGTGGAAAATGAACATTGCTCGATTGAGAAGCTTGCTGAAACCGTTGTAGTGCGCGATTTGACTAACGTAGAGCTTTGAGTTTCTTGTGAGCGGGCACTCCGGGCAGTTCAAATTCCTCGTAACCAATGTGAAATAAAAACGTTAATATTTTCGTTAGGAGTTGATTTCGATAATTTTCGTTGTGTAAATCGTGTTCTACGTGAAATTCGGATTAAGAAACATGTATCAGATTACTTAAATTCGTACCTTGTCTAGTGGTCCATTAGTGAAGGAGATGATTGATGGGAAAAGTGAAGAAGGATGGTGATTGGTGTTGCAGGAACTTTCTCGGTGACATGTTTGATGGTGGGCAAAGTGGTGTTGGAGCATTCTCAACCGACGGCGGTGACGCTCGTGCCGGACGGGAACTCGACGGACGTCGACGTCAACGCCACGTCCACCCTGCCCCGGCTCGCCGCCGCAACCCCCGTCGAGGTCGCTACCACCGTCTGTTTCATCGTCGGCATGTACCAGGTAAAATCCATCTACCTCACTTGCATTGCATTTAGAGTCCCTTTATAAGCGTCCAGCCCACGTACAAACTGGGGCTCTCAAACTGGCACTAATTCTTCTATTTCTCAGCCATTTCTGCACGGAATGCCTTGAAAATTTCAAGATCTGATCTGTGATGTATCCCGAACACATCGGTTACCCCCAAAGATCGTCGGCCCGACGATCTTTGAAAGGCAACAGTCAACAGTTCCATCGATGAGCCTCTTTGAGGCCCCTAGTTTGTAGGTGGGCTGGACGCTATACTGAGAGTCAAGACAATTCGGCTCATGGATGTCACAAACGGGAATAAAGATTACAGAAATTGAACATTTTTCGTAATCTTTGATCGGCCCATTCTCAAATGTCTTTCTCCGTTCCTCCTCTCATTCCGTTTTTGTTCCTTGCCGAACCCGTAATTCCCTGGTCCATTCCAGATTAGGTATAATCTTTGCAATTGGTGAAAATGTAATCTTTATTCCCGTTTGTGACACTGTGGAGGCCTAAAATACGGGAACCAATCAGAAATGGATTCAAATTGTCTTGACTCTCAGTATAAAGGGACTCTAATTGCATTTTGCGAAAAGGAACCACTAGCATTGCAATGTTGCTAAGACTGTGCAACTTCTTTTGTCTTGGAAGAAACCCGATTATCCATTAATAGTTTCTATTTTACTCGCTAAAAACTGTAAATTTAAGACAAAAATTACCATTTAAATTTCATAGTTTTTCACGATTTCCTCAATTTCATTGCAAAAGATGAAGTTGCACAATCTTAGCATCGTTGCAATGCTAGTGGTTCCTTTTTGCAAAATGCAATCCACTTATCCATCTATCTGCCGTACAACGCAAAAACGCCGTAAACGCCTTTTTACATTTTTAGCAAACAATGTATCACAGCAGAAAAACTTGTGCACCTCGGGACAATATTTTTACAGAATTCGTTCGCAAATACTATCAAAAACTTAACCTGATTTTTTTTTTTTTTTTTTTTTTTTTTTTTTTTTTTTTTTTTTTTTTTTTTTTTTTTTTTTNTTTTTTTTTTTTTTTTTTTTTGGCCGGTTGAATGGCTTATACCTTTTCTTAGAGGTCTACAGCCAACTATTGATGGAGATTTAATGTCCTTAGACAACAGGGCGATAGGGACATCCGTACTCCAGGCTTTTCAAATTTTCAGGGATTAAGTAGAACCTGTTCCTGCAGATCTACTCGTCAGTTCCGTGAAAATTTGATGTCACTAAGGGGATTCGAATCCGGGACCTATTGACGTAGAGTCAGACGCAACCTGAAAATTTGAGGTGCATGGGTAAAACGGTTTATATTTATAAAGTGCCAAGTTCAAAAAAACGAGGGAAAATCTTGATGGATTTACGGCGTTTTTGACTAGCGCGGCAGTAAGTATGGTGTCGGGGTTTTTCTTGAGAAAATCGATTAAACAAATCCATTCGATTTTCTTCGAGAATCCTATTTCATCTATTCAAATCGTGCCAAAAATCGATTTCCCGAATAATCAATTAAATAAATCGGAAATTACGTAGGCTCAAAATTCGCATTGTATAAAAAAATGAAAATTCGAATGGAAATTTTCGGAAAGGTCGCTAAAATGGTGGTCCAAAGATCGACTCACGTGCCGATTTAGTACATTCGGGTAGAAAAGAATCGAAATTTTTGATTTTAAGAGAGAGAGTCGATTTACTCGATTTATCGAACCCATCTAAATCGACGCGATGTAATTGATTATTCGGTTAAAAAATCGATTATCAAGAAAATCATCGAAAATCTTCAACACTGTTCTTCAATCTTAATCCACGACATATAAAGCGCCGGAACGTTCTTAAAACATTTTTTGAGTTTTCTTCTCTTTCGGATGAATATTCTGTACAAATAATTGCAAGCTCTGAAGTTGGTTAGTTTCTCCTAGAAAAAAAGTCAAATAGAAATGGGAAATTTGAAACACTGCAATGGAGGCACGTGGTTTTGCACTTTGATCATCGACGTAGTGTCATCCTTGCCATGGTCGCCACACATCAGTTAGGTTTCATTTCGCTGAGCAACTAAACTAACTCTGCGGTCATGCGTATAGCATCTCGTAGAAATGAAGGCGTTTTCCCTTCGAACGTTGCATGGCTGGTTTCTAAAAAGTAAAAGGAAAATAGGGGCAAAAAATTTCTTAACATCGCAATAGAGGTATACGTGGTTTTGTACTTCAGTCATCTATATCGACGGTGTGAGTCGCCAATCACATAACTCGGTTTGCGACGTCGCAGACTTCCTGTCATACTTTATTTTTTAAACGGAAAACTACCCAACAGCAATTCTTTAAAACTGCCCTGATTTTTCTTCTCTGTGCGAAGAAAATTCTGCAAAAACTTCATGGAATGACGTCAATTTGCTCTCCTTTAAGAAAATAACATAGATGCGGAGATTTTCAGACACTGCAAACGAGTTTTGTGATTGCCGACTTACACCGTCGATAAGCGCTTTTTCCATCAGTACTTATAGTAGACAAAGAAGACAATGTTGCTCTGAAGTAACCTCTTAAGTAATTGGCAACAAGTGGGAACTCTTTTTTTTTTTTTTTTTTTTTTTTTTTTTTTTTTTTTTTTTTTTTNTTTTTTTTTTTTTTTGTCGTCTACGATCTCAACGTAGAGTCTCAACTGAAGGGGCAGAGAAGAAATTTAAGCGTAATTTGGTGTTATAAGAACCTGTTTTTGTAAGAACCCGGTCTGGTGTTTTAACCTCGTTGAAATTTATTTTTTTGTAGCTCGTTATGTACGTGATGCGACTTGGAGTGCTGACGTCACTGCTATCGGATACCCTGGTGAGCAGCTTCACCGCGGCGGCCGCTTTTCTAGTCATCACGTCCCAGATCAAGGATATCCTTGGGATTCAAATGCCCAAAAAGTACAGCGGCAATTTCTCCATAATCTACGTGAGTATCATTGAAAAGCGTACACAATCGTGCGAGACATCAGTCCTTTCCCTACATTACTGTACACGTGTACCTTGAATATCGAGAAAAGTCCTCACTATCAGTTCCCAGAACGTGGAGGAATGGCTGTGACGGTTTAATACAACTACTCGTGCTCTGCGGATGTCCGCATTGCATACACACAAACTTGAAGGCGTTTTTGCGTCTGCATGAAGGCGCGCTTTTGAGAGACGCGCGCTTCGGGATTTAACGTTCCTTTGAACGAAAGACCTCGACACCGAGGCAACAAAAAAGCGGGTGCGTGAAGTATCTTCTAATCATCGAATTACGCTACCTTTGAAAAATGTTCCTAATCTTTCGAGTGGTCTAATTTTACTACTTTCTGAATAAAGTTAATTCTTTGATCACGCTATAACTCAAGCATGCAAGGTTTTTTTCTTTTTTGCTTTTTTTCTTTTTTCTTTTTCTTTTTCTTTTTTCTTTTCTTTCTTTTCTTTCTTTTTTTCTTTTTTTCTTTTTTCTTTTCGTTTTTTTCGTTTTTCTTTTTTTTCTTTTTCTTCTTTTTTTCCTCTTTTTTCTTTTTTTTGGTTTTTTTCGTTTTTCTTTTTTTTCTTTTTTTTCTTTTTTTTCTTTTTTTCTTCTTTTTTTCTTTTTTTTCTTTTTTTTCTCTTTTTTCTCTTTTTTCTCTTTTTTCTTTTTTTTCTTTTTTTCTTTTTTTTCTCTTTTTTCTTTTTTTTCTTTTTTTCTTTTTTTTCTTTTTTTTCTTTTTTTTCTTTTTTTTCTTTTTTTTCTTTTTTTTCTTTTTTTTCTTTTTTCCTTTTTTTTCTTTTCTTTCTTTCTCTTTCTTTTTTCTCTTTTCTCTCTTTTTTTCTTTTTATTCTTCTTTTTTGTTTTTTAAGTACGGCGTGACATTAAGTATAATTAAGTGTTGCATCTTCTCTTAAGTCCTCTCACAATTATCTCATAATGAGCCCACAGAACGCGAAGGAATGATTCGACGGTTTGATACAACTGTTCGTGCTCTGCAGATGTCCGCATTGCATACGCTTAAAATTGGAGGCGTTTTTGTCTCTGGAATGAANCCATGTAAATTTATTATTGTTACTGCCCTCTTTAGAGGTGTAAATGGCCTTAGATGCTAAAGCACCGCTTTACAATAAAATTATTTTACTATTACTACTACTACTCTCTTTTTTTCTTTTTATTCTTCTTTTTTGTTTTTTAAGTACGGCGTGACATTAAGTATAATAAAGTGTTGCATCTTCTCTTAAGTCCTCTCACAATTATCTCATAATGAGCCCACAGAACGCGAAGGAATGATTCGACGGTTTGATACAACTGTTCGTGCTCTGCAGATGTCCGCATTGCATACGCACAAAATTGGAGGCGTTTTTGTCTCTGGAATGAAGCAAGCTTTTGATTGAGAGACACGCACTGTGGGTGAAGAATACAAATTGTACCAATTACCTAAATGAATTAGACGTGAGAAATGCATTAATTCAGGCCGACTTTGATGGATTTCAATGTCGCTCATTTTGAAGTGTGTGCGCGCCAGAATGATTTTCGTTGCGCACTTTTTTCCCGCTCTTTTTTCCCACCGAACCCGAATTTGGCGCGTTTCATACTAGTTTACGCTTGTGCCGAGACGCCACGGTTATATCAGTGTTTTCGTGCTAAGGAAGAACGCTGTATAAGCTTTTAGACGTTGCCGAATTTCGTTCGAGTAAATACGAATTTTCAGAGAAAACTCTGAATATCTCTTCCAATTTTTTTTAGAAAATTTTATTCGCAATCAGATCTAACTTATCTGGAAATTTTTAGAGAGAATTTTCATAACTCATCTTAAAAATAAACATTTTATTCGAGGAAATTTTGCGACTCTGGAATGTTCATACAGCGTTCATCCTTAACACAGCAGTATTAAACATAGCATAACTTGGATGGATCGAATGTCTTGATAGAGGTTGGATGAATGCAATAAAAAGATATATGCAAAACAATTTCAATGTTAAAATGTTAAGTACAGGGTCTATAAACATCATCATGAAACAATAATTCGTAGTAACACATTTTGGCATGTTTTAAGGACAGGCTTTAGGAAGTATGTTCAGTATTACAAAAATATATACAACATTGCTTGAATAATTTTACTCCCAGAACTGATCAATTTCAATTTTTGTTCACTTCACAGACGTATATAGCATTTTTCCAAAGTATTGACTCTACTAACAAGGCAGCATTAACAGTATCTTTAATTACAATTACTATTCTCTGGAGCTATGATGACATCGTGAAGGTATGTTTTTAAAAACTTTGTGCAAAATATCCTAGAATTAGGGTGAATCCTTGTCAAAGTGGTTTCATATGAGATCAACAAATTTATTTATTTATTTATTACATTTTGATACACGGGAGCCGTGAGGCTATAGTATAGGTCAATTCATGTACAATAAAGTTTTTTTTTTTTTTTTTTTTTTAAACAACTAAAAAGTATTAAATTTCTAAGATAACAATCCAAAAGCACAGAATATTGTTTACAAGTTTCGAGAGAGGGCTAGAATTACCTCAGTAGTACCAAGAGAAGCAGAGTCAGCTATTCAACCAGGAGGGTGGTCTGGGTTGTACCTACCATTCAGCAATTCATCAATGCTGTAGAAAGCATTTTTTAGGAGATGTTCCATGAGCTTACTTAGGAAATATTGAACACGGCCTTCACGAAAAAGAGATTTTCAAATAAGCGGCTAACCGTCACTGAAATTTTCTAGAGCCTGAATGTTTGATTCAGTGTTTTGTGTTTTCAAATGTATTAATAATGCTTATATTATTTGTCATTCATACTTGAAATATTTACGAGGCTAAATTACCCTTACAAATCGTCTTTGAAGCCAGTGAAGCTGCGAAAACTTTACAGAATGGATTCAGATCAGTAGAAATGAGGGAGCTTACCTACCTCCTTGAAATTTTTTGTATTAATATTGTAGGTAATGTGTCCATCCTCTCTGTTTTCATATAGCTTTTAGTATGTGCCATCAAATTTTAAGAAACATTAAAAATATGAAATGTCAAACCATACTAAGACTCAGTTAGATAATTTCCTCAAATTATGTAAAATTCAATTCAATTTTATCAAAGTTGAATCGGTGCTTGTTCAAAAATCCTGAAAGATTGTTGTTCAAACGGCCCAGTTAGTTATGATTTTCGAAATTATGTGTTTTTCAACCAAATATATATTTCATAAAATTTCCAAAGTAATTCTTGATCACTCTAAAATAATCTCTCTCCCCTTGATTTGCTTTCAGCCAAGACTACGACAGGTGACCTCTGTGCCCATACCAATAGAATTAATTGTCATACTAGCAGGCACCTTAATTTCTAGATTCACACCTTTAATAGACGAGAACCATATACGCACCGTTGGACATATTGCCGTGGGGTAAGTGACATTAAATACATTTGAAGCATATTAGGAACAACATTGGCATGCTAAAGAAGAACGCCGCAAGAATCTGCAGACGTTGCCAAATTTCCTCTGTTACAATATGAATTTTAAGGGAAATTTGCAAATATTTTTCCTCTAATTTTTCAGGGAATCTTATTTGCAGTCAGATCTAAATTATCTGAAAATTCCAATAGAAATTATTCATAAGTCTCCTAAAAAATAATCATTTTACTGATAGAAATTTTGCAACTCTTGAGTTTTCATACAGCACTTCTTCATAGCACGGCAGAACAAACAAGGCACCCACAGTGTGTAGTATATCAGTAACAAATTGGAGCATAGAGCTCACAATGTATGGGTTAATTCGTCATTAGTAGATTAAAAATCAAGGCTGCAAAACTGAGCAAAAAGTTTGCTGCATGCAATACAAGGTACAATCCTTAAGTAGGCATGTTCCTAGTGACAAAAATTTCATGCTTCAATTTAAGAGTTCCCCGTTTCAACTGAGATTCCATACCTGTGCGAATAATTTTGACTCGCCTGAGTGTACATGGAGATTTTGACAGTTGGATGGTTCCAAAATTATGTTACAAGTAGACAGAAATCGTAAAATACACTACATTTTCAATAATCGGAACCAATATAATGGTTGGGTGGTTTGGATAACAGGAAGTTCGGATAATGCAGAGGTCACTATGACAAGCATAATTCAACACTGTGCATTCATGAAATTGAACATTGCATTACATTTTATGCTCAAACTTTTTTTTAAAAAATTGACTTTTGTCTGATTTCTGCCAGCCAATAATATTTTTAGAGAGCTGTATGAGACATCTTAATTTTTTGGTTACCTATCTTTTCTTTCAATATCATTTTTTCTTTTTCTAGTCTACCAGAACCTTCTCCTCCACGATTTGATTTGATTCCATCACTCCTAGGTGAATGTTTTTCTATTGCTGTTGTTGCCTATGTAATAGCCATGTCGATGGCCCTCACATTTTCAACAAAACTGAAATATGACCTTGACGCAAACCAAGAATTTCTTGCTCAGGTAAGACAATATGTTCTAAATTTTTACTACAGGCTTTTTTGTCACAGAACTAAAAATACTCATGCAACACTTTAACAACCCTTGTTAGATGGTTTCTGACTCATTCTGTTGATTTTTTATCTCAGGGGCATAGCATGTCAACGGTGTAAGTCGGCAATCACATAACTCGGTTTGCGACGTCGCAGACTTCCTGTCATACTTTATTTTTTAAACGGAGAACTACTCAACAGCAGTTCTTTAAAACTGCCCTGATTTTTCTTCTCTGTGCGAAGAAAATTCTGCAAAAACTTCATGGAATTACGTCAATTTGTTCTCCTTTAAAAAAATAACATAGAGGCGGAGATTTTCAGACACCGCAAACGAGTTTTGTGATTGCCGACTTACACCGTCAATGTGTAGAAATACTTCTAATCTCAATCAAGCTCTATTCAGTTTGTGAGACAATGGTGAACTTTCGTTTATAAAAAAATTGTAGGTTGTTAAAAAATTTGAGTCAGAGTGGAGATTGAAAGTATCTCTTGTAGCAATGACTTTTAAAAAACGTGTACATTTTAAAGGGGCAGCTCTTAAAAAAACTGTAAGAATTATATCTACATTTTTAAGTCAAACCCATGGCAGGCAACAATCTACCCAAAAAAAAGTGTTAAAAAAACCCTTAAAAGATTTACTGTAGTTTTTTACACTTCAAATGTTCAAAAAATGTTTAATAATTCTTAAATGCGTAAATGTTAACAAATGTAAATTTTAATATTAAAAAAAAAATAAAAATAACCAAGGAAGGTCCCCTGAAAAATGACTTTTTCCAGTTTTTGTAAGAGTTTTTGAAAAGTGTGTTGTAGAGATCCTTGCTGCTTGAGTATGAGTTAGCTGGAATATGAAATCATTTTAAGACTCTACTGTTCGTTATTGTAAAAATCGTGGATGGTAGTAGCCACCTTCGGAAAAAGTCTAAACACAGCAACAATAGAAGCGGTCTGAAGAAAAGGTAGCAGTCAACCATAGACACACATAACTCCCTTAGTCTGAAAATTGAATTTAAGAAAATACTAAAATTGCCAGGACATGTACAGGTTTGGCAAAAATTTGATTTATTGAAAAACGTTTCCATTATTGCAGGGAGTAAGTAACGTCTTTGGCTCATTCTTCTCCTGCATGCCGATATCAGCTTCCCTCTCTCGAAGTGTCATCCAGCAGGTTGTTGGAGGAAAAACTCAGGTTGCTGGTCTTGTGTCCTCTTCAATTATATTCTGCGTTCTTCTCTGGATTGGACCATTTTTTGAACCCCTCCCTCGGGTAAGAAATCTCATCAAAATCTAAAAAATTACCACACCAGCCAGAAGATGGACAGACAGAATGCATTTTCCGCTGGAAATTTTTCATCGATGAAATGGTTTTGCACTGATTTGGGCATAAGGGTTTAAGGCAACGTTTTTCTACACTTTTTAAAATAATGGAGATGTTGCATGTGTGAGGAATTTGCGATTTGACTGTTGATTCTTATGTAAAAGTTCGCGAGAAACCTGATGGTGCCTAGATAGAAGCACCCCTTACAATTTAAAATGTGACAAATTGAACATCAAAATTTGCAGTTTTATTTAAAAAAAATTTATGTCCGACCTCTCTGATCGACTCGATCCACTGTGTGCAGGCGCGGCGTTAACGGTGGTGTTTACTGCGAGGATCCAAAATGGCGAATCGCTTTTAATTCTTCCTTTATACTTCAAATGGAGATGTTGCATGTGTGAGGAATTTGCGATTTGACTATTGATTCTTATGTAAAGTTCGCGAGAAACCTGATGGTGCCACTGGTTCTCTCTGAAATCAACTCCCAAGCTCAAAAAAAGCTCTCAACTTGAGGCCAAAATGGAGGGGATATCCCACGCTATCCTGAGAGTCCACATCTACATCAAGACAAACTCTCCATGCGAAGATAGGGAGCTAATACATTAGCAGTAATGCCAAGTTTTCAGTTTTCGAGTCCCAAATAAAGTGGCAGCCCTGTCAATGTATTTGCTCCCTATCTTTGCATGGAGAGTTCGTCTTGATGTAGAGGTGGACTCTCAGGATAGCGTGGGATATCCCCTCCATTTTGGCTTCAACTTGAGAGCTTTTTTTGAGCTTGGGATTTGATCTCAGAGAAAGCCAGTGGGACCATCACGTTTCTTGCAAACTTTTACATAAGAATCAATAGTCAAATCGCAAATTCCTCACATATGCAACATCTCCATTTTAAGGAAAACGCCCTGTAGTTTCTAACTTTGACTAGCCAGTATCTTTCCTGTCCGGTTAAGTATGTGTGAAAACATTGTCGCCGTGTAATTTTGAAAATGACTTCGTGATAATGCCATGGTGCTTTCGCACTTGTATATCCAGGCAGCTCCATATCTTGACTTACTTTTATTAATTGATAATTAATATTAATTAATACTTTTATTAAAACTGCTCCATTATTTTTACCTTTGAATGAAATAGTGAAATTTATCAAAGCTGTTTTTAAGCAAATCAGAAGGCAGGTGGCTAAGGGTTGTAGCTTTAGCAGAGCTTAGCTTCTGGAAACTTAGATCGATTGAAAATACTTTGCAGCAGGGAGCCAAAAAACAAATTTAACAGGATGATTCGTTTTTTGTTCTCTCGAAGGAGAGAGAATGTGATGAAATGGGACATAGAGCCGTAGGTAATATGGTTCACTATTCAATGACAACATCAAGACCGCAAGTTCCAAAAACTAATACTAGCATAAACAAAATTAACTCTAATGAGTTTTAGTACAAAAACAAGTAAATCAAATAAACAAGTTTATTTGACTTTAAAATTCAGCTTTTGGATGGATATGGTCCTCATTAATCTGATTCTTGGGAAATCGTCTGAATAAAATTTATAATTAGTCACATATCAAGGTGGTGGTAATACATGGAACTACTTATTTACCTTGTATTCACCCTAAATGACCCCTATTAATTTATCATATATAGATTATTAATGTTTCTTTTTCACCATCTGTTTGTGCAATCCATCATTTGGATAAATTAATCGGTAAGTTTTATCTTTAAGTAGTGCATTGGAAGTTTGCAATGTTTGGTGTTGTATAACTTTACTTCAGTACAAACCTTTTTCAATGTTTATCTGAGAAAAAATCTAATAAATATACAAAGTCAAGGCAATATATCTCTCAGAAATCAAACATTTGATAGTGTATAATGAGCCTACGATGATATTTCTCACAGCATCATTTCAAAAGAGTAAGTTATCAGGTCCATTGCAGTCATCACATTTTGTTGTGATTATGATACATGTAATAGGAAAAAATTTGATGAAACAGCAGAAAAATTGGCAAGCGGCTATTGTAATTACCATTAGTTACAAATCGTGATAATTTTCATGATTCAATACGACTAATCTAGTTCCATTGGTGTCTTGATGTTTCAGTGTGTTCTTGCCAGTCTGATCGTGGTTGCAGTGAAAAATGTGTTATTACAAGTTCGAGCATTTCCAAAAATTTGGCGTCTGTCATTTTTGGATGGCCTTGTTTACATTCTAACATTCCTGACAGTAATCTTGGTGGAAGTTGACATTGGTTTGATTGTTGGATTTAGCGTCTCCTTAGCTTCCATATTAATCCAAGGAATTCGGCCGTATTGCTGCCTTCTTGGTCGAGTTCCTAATACGGACATTTATGTCGATAAAACACGATTTAATGTGAGTAACTCACATAATTATACAATTGCGTTGATTCACAATTACAGCTAAATTGTAATTGGTTAAATGCACGATGCAGTTTGAGAAAGAAAAGAGGTTTATGTATGATGTTAAATAAAGACATCAACTGATTGCAATTGCTGAAATTTTTAAATCCTAAGTAAGTATTGAAAGCACCAAAGGAACTGAGGTCATCATGATTGCTCTCACTGATGCAGAGTAGCAGCAGTGAAGTGGATCTAAAAACTTGGTCTTAAGTATAACTAGAGTGAAAATTTTAATTAATTTTTGAAGACTATGTGATGCCATTGTTGAAATGGATAAGTTGTGTAGTCATAGAAGTGTCCACCTGTAAATTATATTTGACTACAAATCTATTTTCTGAGAGCCCTTGCCCTGAAAAGAAAAAAATTCTCAGAAACTACTATGTCTGTCAATTTCTTTGATTGTTAAGTATCAGCAGTTGCAGTGAAATATACTGCGATATTTTTTATCAAGTGAGTGAATGGAGAGGGGCATCAAAAATTAATTTGCCCTAGACTGCTGAAATCTATAAGTCTAGTTTATCGCCATAATCTTTTTGAGATAGGTATTCTCAGCGTGAAAATGTGAGCTAACATCGCATCTTTTTTTTTAGTTTTAAAAAAAAATCTGAATACACTTCTGCACTGGAAAAAAAAACCACATTGGATCTAGAGTCCAGACTCTTGAAAACATTGACAAGAAAAAGGACTCTTGATTCAATCAGATTTAGGCTTAAATCAAAAGGAAATCCGCTCAAATTAAAAGGCTTGATTCTTGATTTAAGCTTAAATCTGATTGAATCAAGAGTATTTTTTCTTGTCGATGTTTTTAAGAGTCTGGACTCGAGATCTAATGTGTTTTTTTTTCCAGTGTGAGTCATAGAACCATCATTTGACGTCACTTGAAATTATGAATTATAATTTCAATTGCTTGTTATTTGTTGCAGACTGTTGACATGCCGGGAATAAAAATTGTTCATTATTCAGGAGGATTAAATTTTGCTAACCGTGGATACTTCAAATCTGGCATTCACAATTTGTTACATTTCTGGCCAAGACAAGAAATTAATCGCAGGAACCAGATGATCAAATCGAACAAAGTTGGACCCTTGGAGTTCAGCAATCCTGTAAGTTGAGCCTTCCATCTAATTCTTGTTTTTTAACAAAAGTCTCTTATGAATGGTCCATTCAAAGCAGGACCCTCGTGCAAGTCATTTTGCTAACATTATGCACCTTTTAGTCAATCAGTTTCTCTTTTTACCTTTATTTATAAACTAATATACGTTCAAATTATTTTCTTCCAAATTTTTCTCTTTCTCTAACATACTTTGTCGAGTATTTAGTGTAAGATCATTTGTATTTTGATAGGAAAAATCATTCTTTCACTTCCATCCCACTAATTGTATTCTGACAATTGTAAATTTCAGCGTTTAGAACACTGAGAGGAAAAATTATCGCCCTCAAAATTATTCAAGTCATCTAAAAATTTTAGGTCTATATAATTGATAAACCACACCGATCGATATTTTCAGTTTCAATTACTTTTTTTTATAGATGAACTGTTTGATTCTTGATCTGGCAGCAATGCATTATTGTGACCCAGCTGGTGTCAACACTCTGCGATCAATCGGAGAAGAATTCAAGGAGTTATCAATACCCGTGTATATCACAGGCGCCTCAGGTAAATAATCACTCATTATCAAGAGATCCATTTTATGTGAATACTCTCTTCCTCCAGGCAAGTTAATTGAGTAAGTCCTTACTTGTATATCTTATGCATTTGTTTACTGACGAAAATCCAGCCGGTCCTTGAAAAAATAGTTTCATCTGACACCATACAAGCTTACACTGAGAGGATATGATGGTTCCGCCTCTGATTGAGATGATTTTGAGCTGAACTGAAAGTAAAGACGAACTAAAATTCACATGCCTTTGTCTTTTGAGAACGGGTTCCTAAGAGCACCCCAAAATTCGTGATTTAGAAAAAAACCACTTTCGAAAATACGAAGCTATTAAGGGTTTCTTATAGACCCATCAGCAGAAATACTTTAACACATCAATTATATTTCAAATTGCATAGTAAAATTTGTGTTCAAGTCCAAAATCATTAATATTGGAGGTGGAGCCATCAACCTTGGATTAAGTTCCATGTTCGTCATGAAAGAGTAGCAGTTTCAGTCAAAAGTTGATTGTATAAACATTGGAAACATTAACATTTCAATGCCTATAATTTTGTTTAATTTACGGATTCATTGGCTTCGTATCAATGAAAAACAATTTATTCTTCAGGACGGCACTGACGGATAATTTAATCCTTCATTTATTTATACTTCATAAACACATGAAAGTTGTGATTGCTTTGATCCTATTTAAAGACCCGTTTTTTATGACTTTTCAGGCCCTGTTTATGAGAGTTTCCAAAACAATGACTTGATTTCTCAGAACCTATTTCATTTCTTCCCGACTGTGCATGATGCGGTGCTCTATGATCAAATAATTCGCCTGGAGAGCGCCAACACTATCATCCAACCGCTTCCAGAGGAAAATTCCTCAACACTTTAAGTCTCACTCCCTTTATGGTCCGAGGATCAATCAAATTTTGCATACTTCCAGGATGTTAAAATTATATTTAAAGGATTTTAAAAGGGCCTATAGAGAACTGTACTCATACCATTCGAAGCTACAAGACCAGGACAGACGTCAAGGGAACCCCACTCACTCAAGCCACTGTACTTTACTGGAGTACTATACACTATTTTTAGTATACCAGTAAGAGCACTACAGCATAGAAGTGTAACGTCTTTTGGCTCATGCATGTAATATGGGTTTACGTCAACTTTAGATTTTTCCCAGATTCATAACAGACTATTGTAAAAGTAAAAATGGTTTATTTCACAAACCTACTTTTCAGCATGACGCAATTGAACACCTCTAGTCTTATTTTTCTTTTGTTCAACTCTCTCCAAGATAAAGATGACTTTAAGACAAAGGTAATCTTTCTCAGACCGCCTCTACGTACTATATCTTTGCTTTGAATGAGGAAAGGTGCTAAATATTTTGTGGATAGTACTCACTGGAGAGTTGTGGGTGTTCATTTAAAATTATATCCTCATGAGTTATTTGAGAGAGGAAACCTTGGACAGCGCACCTGACTTGTAATGACAATCCGTTACACATAATTAGGGAACCGAGATTTTCTGATGACGGCTCCTCTATGCCAGATTTCATTTTTCATCAAATTTGTTACTTTAATCATATCGTTTGTGTACTTAAGTATGTAAAGTCCACTGTAACATTCTTTTCATAGTTTTTGTTCTTAAAATTGATCTGTGTTGCAGGCCAGCTAGACTGTTCTGTAGGGGTCTGATAATATTTTTATTAATTTACAAGGTTTACCTTTTGTACAGAAAGAGAGCCTGCGTAATCAATCTCTCTTGGATCTGCTCTCTAGAGGAGTTAAACTGAGTGAAGCCAGACAGACTGTTCTCGGAATTAAGTAGTAATAAATGTTTGGATTTGAACTACAAACAGCGATTTGATCAAATGTAGTGCAGCTGGTGTTAATTGTGGGAATTTCCTTTTTTTTTCATTCATATGAGGCAAAAATACAGTTCTAGAATTTTATTTTCAAATTTCAACAATGAATTCGATTTTAATTAAAAACTGTGTAAAAATATAAAAGCTTAATTCAACAACCAATAAACAAAGTGGATCTGTAAACCCTTCATTCAAGACTGTACGATCTGTGGTGAAAAAATCAACATTTTATTTATACTGCTCAAAAAAAATTAAAGTTACCTTGTTAAATATTTGTCAAAAGACAATTAAGGAAATGTAATTTTGAACTCAACCTAAAAGCCGTTTCCTTCAGCATCTCAACAGAAGCACATTCTAAGTTTCCAATCGGCTTCTCTAAAATCATCGTAGATGTGTCATTTAGAATTAAGTATGAGGAAGTAGATTTTGACTATCTGTGTAAAAATAAGTTGATTAAATTGTATGATAATATGATGATAATTTTTCTGTCCTGCCAAGATTTACTTTGAACGCCCATTTCTTCCAGCGTAATCTATCATTTGTATCCCTGTGAAAAAATAAAATTCTCTCATACCTATTTATTTTTTTTTTTTTTTTTTTTTTTTTTTTTTTTTATAAAGCTTGATTATGACAAGTGAAAATTTGAAAAAAAAAAAAGTAAATAAAGCAATGCGAGTGTCATTCATATTGGGAAGAAATGAATTTTTTACTGAAATATTGTTTGAAATTTTTCTTTAATATGCCTTTTTTTCATTTAAGCTCCAGTCTTGTGACAAGATAATTTAGTACAATGTGATATCCCTCCTCATAGTATCTTTAGTGATACCTTGTGCCTTTACGTGATTGTGATATTTTAATGATTTAGCAAATTAGTTTTAAGAACTGTACAGATAGGAGATAGATGTTTGACTTGCTGAAAAAAATTCCTTGTTTGAAGTTTAGGGACTGTCGATGAAAAATAAATTGCATAATGCAGTTGATTGTTAGCTGCGTCTTTAAAGGAGAAAGGAAAAAGAGCCCATGAATTTAGAACCCTCTTGCTTTAAAAGAGTCATTCTATTTGTAATAAGATTAAAGCTTTTCTTGAAGCCTCCAAGGGACCTGTACTTTTTGCTCATACATTTTTACCAAATATGTATAGAAGAGACTATTGGAAATACTGACCTGTTTACAGATCCAATCAATTTAACTCAATCATATTTCTTCATAATATTGATAGGTAATAACTGCTGTTAACAACGTTAAAAGTTGAAAATGACTCCTCCATAGTTTCCATTTCTTATGTTTATTTTTTCCTCCTCAAAATTTGTGAGATGGAGAGAGGTCAAGTACTTTTACAGTTTAAGATGCTCTAAGTTTAAAAAGTGGCTGAAATTTTTGGATCGATTGTAAAATACACTTGTCTTAATTTTCCAAAATTTACCCTCTGTTAAAACTCTCATATTGAGAGCTACTTGTACCATTCATCGATAGGAGACAATGCTTGTTTTTCATTGACAAAGGGAAAAAACAGCTCCCATAACTATTTGCAGTTGCTGGACAAAGAATAAATTGTGGAAAATGAGTCTCAAGTTTATTACCTCTCTGAAACTTTCAACCTCATATATTTTTCTGACTTCCAGAAAAGCATATTTTATCAATATATGAGTAAAAATCACAATGCCTATGTAAAAAACCATACGTGAAATCTACCTCTGGAGATTGCCCGATTACAAGAACAACACTGACACTGTGACAGACATAATAATCAATAGTGTAGTAAGAGTAATTTTGTATATAATGTAATTTATTCTGTGTATTTTGTTAAAATAAAAACTCATAGAAACTTATTTGAACCTTGTCGTATTTTAAAAAGGAGCAATTATTCTACCTTGAAGTGTGCGTGTGGTATAAATATCACTGAAAAGGGAAATAAAGGAGCCGTGATAAAAATAGTCAGCATCTTAAAAGGGCATTATTCCATCGAAGATTATTATTAATCTCGATTTTTGATGAGAAAAAAAATTGAGATAACCAATTATTCGGTAGTTCAAAATGCAGAATTCATTGCGCATGGTACCAAGGCTCGGTGAGGCTTCCTGAGCTGAGAAACTGTTAAAAACACTTGTTTTTGACCGTTTTAGAAAGTTCATTAGGGTGTCCCATTTTGGACGTAAAAAAAAAAATTTGCGAAATCCAACTGAGATACTTGCCAAAAAGTTGTCTTGTGGTTAGAAAAAAATCACACAAAAATCTCAGGGTCGTAGCTAAAGGTTAAGTGGTCCCGCACGGCACTTAAGTGGTTTTAATGGCTACCGATTTCTCATCTTGGCGATCTTGGCAATTTAGCAGATTTTTTTTCAGTAAATGCAATCGAGCTAGAAAGTCACAAATGTGGATAATGAGACTTCTGCTGCAACAGTTTAAGAAAAAAATAACAGTTTGGACCCACGAGGCTCGGAAATTCCTCGTTCTTAGCTCTCTAAATGCAAAAATCAGTGATTTTAGCATTTTGTAGTGAAACTACTGCTCGACCGTCGCTCAGCTTAAATGTCGCAGCATTTGATGCGCTGTTTCACAATGATCCCATCGGAGGAACAAAAAGTCCTTTAAGTATGTTCATTAGAGGTGTAAGAACGTCACTTTCGCCAATTTTCGTTGATATTAAAACTTAGCGCTCATTGTTGATTTTTTTTTTTTGGAATTTTCCTGTTTTTTATCATTTTTTTAAATGGTTTAAAAAGGGCGACTCATCTTACACCAGAATTGAACTCCTTTGGCAAACAATGTACGTAGGTAGTCGAATCCTTCCTCTGAACCAGTTTTTGGATTCAAAGCCTCCCAAAAAAGCCGATGTTGCCATATTTGATCGCCTAAAAACACAAAAAACCGAGTACCTATTTCAGTATTCGGAGGCTGTTCCTAACCGAGCTCATTCAGCAAAGTTCAGCAAACCTTGAATTTTCATACGTTATGACCACATTACTAGTGATTATGTACATGTATTTATCTACATATAGAGCCTCCCACCGCGGCGCGCCGTTGCCACATATCATCGGTAAAAGTCGATAAAAGTCCGCGTTTCCCTAGATTTGAGCCTTTTTTTCGGATAATGCACATAGAATACATACGTAAAACTTAAATTGCAGTATTTAACGATGTAAGGGATCATACCTTGTGCCGACATTCATTATTTTAAGATCCTGCGCTTATTAAAGACCCACTTCTTACAAATTCTAGGCATGATGTTTGGATTCTCTCTGGATATCTCTGTTGGAGTTCGCAATTTAAATTTTATTTAACGTCCAAAATGGGACACCCTAAGGTTCATCTAACTCGCGTTTTTTGCCAATCAAGTGTCTCTGTTTTTTAGTGCAATTAAAAATTTAAGAACACGGAAGAAATATGGACAAGACTTTATTACAAATATAGCAAAAAAGTTTGTACGACAATTATTTGGTTACAAATGATAATAAAAATGAACCAGGTTAAAAAGAAAATCTATGTACCATTTTTTGTAACAATATTCAAAATTGATTAAAGAAGAGCCCAAATCATCAAACTCGTACCCTTAAGCCCAATTCACAAGCTTCAAATTTTCATCCGACAAAAACGGACAAAAAGTTGCACGGAACATTGAGGGTGACATGGCATTCAAGTTTCCCTTCAACTTTTCATCCGATTATTGTGTTCACAGGAACACAATAACGTTCACAAAGATCGTGTGATACTGACACGAGTCATTACCCATCACACAACCCAACTTATCATTCTACAAAATTGAAAGAAAAGTTGAACCATGTGAATTAGGCTTTTGAAATCGAAAGGAGGGCTTTTAAACACGAAGTTTCTGATTGCTGTCTGTAAATAGAAACTCTTCAGAAACTAGAGATGATACAGGAATGTACAATTTTATTCATATCTGTTCTATTAAGTAGAGGACTTTTTACCGCTTTAGAGGCCCTTCATGACAAATTCTTATGGCAAGATTTGACTTGGAGATTTTAAGTCAATGGACAGTGCAATATTTTAAGTATAATCAAAATTCCTATGAAAATTTTATCTAACTTGCTGAAAACTTCACGGATGGCTAGACTCATCGTCAATTATTGATGATTATTCTCAAAACTTCAAAACCCTTTTACAACTGAAGAAACTTTTGATTGTAATCACAGAACGAATAAGTTTATGATATTCGTTCAATTAAGTTTAAAAATAAAGGAGAGGTGGGAATCAATATTATTTTTCTCTTCTGATTTTTTAGGCAAGGCGCCTAGCATTTTCTCTTCTATTCTTCAGAGGATCTGCTTGAGTAAAGAAAAAAAAACTAGTTCTCACAGAATTAAAAAAAAAAATTAAAATGCTTTGAATCACACAGACAAAAAATGTTTATGCTACTATCAAAGTCAGTCTTTGAAATTGTATTCAAGAAGAAATACTCCAGCACAACACTTAAATCTAAATATTTACAAAATCATGAGAATCCACATCAATGATCATTTTCTGTTCTTCCAGATTTTCTTTAATGAACTACGTCTTACATTAAAGTTAAAGAAAAAAGGAAAACATAAACGTACACAAAAATCGTACTAAAAATGTGATCTTAGAAAGGGGGAAAAAATGAGGTATTGATAGCTGAGGCTGTGGTAAAAAGATAGAGATAAAAATTTATGAAGAATAGACTTTTGTATGACTCCTTAGCAGTTAGGTAGTGTAAAATTTTCATCAGCTAAAGTATAGTACAATTAATGAGATCATTAGACAGTCACCTTATAATTAAAAAAGTAGAAAAATGTGATGTTCTAGATAATCACTCTGGTATAAAAAATATCTACTAAAAAAACGTAAGCTTCAGTGGTATGCTTGAGATATAAATAACACAACATGATTTAGTCATTTGTTAAAAAATTTGAAGTTCTTTGCCCAGATACCTCGGAAAAAATTTGAGAAGAATTATGGTATATCCTATGACTACTGCCAACATAGACTAATGCATAGTTGACGTCTTAGAGACCCCCAAACCCCATTTTTGACTGAGATTTCGATTTTTCTGATGTCACTAGTATATAATTCAGCAAGTCACAAATGATGGTGTACCTAAACCAATTTTCATGAGATTCCGTGTATTACCATTGCCAAAATGCAAGAAAAACAATTTATTTCCCGGGACAAAAAAAAAACTATGTTTGGAAAAAATTTCACGGAAAAAAAAGTCTTATTTTGACCCAAAAAACACGCACCTGTAGTCTGGCTGTTTGACTCCAGATCACCCTATCCAAGAGGAAGGGAAAGAATCCAAAATTGACAGCATTAAGAGGGGTAAGGGTCTAAAAGAAGCCAAATTCAAAGAGATTGGAAAAATCTATCGAAATGTAACTAAAATAAAGTACTATGATCAGAAAAGCTCAGCCTACGAAACTTTCAATGCAATTTGAACTGGGCTTGGCAGTATAGGATTCAGTACAGTACACGGAAAAAATCTATACTTTATTACGGAAATTTTCTATACCATCATATGGTTTTATTTAGGCCACATTTCCATCAGTTCTTGAAGTATCAGATAATGGAGCGAAAAGCATATTATTTGGATAGATTACTGACATAGGGTTCAGAAAGTCCGAGTTCAGCTAAAGTTTGTGCCTAGATGATAATTTTTTTCTGATTGCATTTCAAATTTCAATCATGGGATAAGGTTTAGTTTACCTTTTTTGTGTGGGTAGAAGAATCTGTTATGAAAAACCTCCAGACCTTTTAAAGGATAGTTAAACTATAATCCTGATTATTTTGTGGCCAGGAAAGTTTACAGACCCGAGGTTCATACAAAGTAATCGACAAATATACACGCATTTAAAACTACGACTTTAACAACAAGAAAACATAACAAAAATACATTCAAAACGAATTTACACTAATCTAATTCAGTGACAATTATTTACAGGAGAATTCCGTTACAACTTGGGAGACTAGAATTCTTCAAAAAAAGAACCTGGTGCGTACGATAGGTGTGTCTTGAAAGTTTTGTCGGTAACCTCCGTAAAGGCAAACAAATAAAGCTGTGAGAATAAAAGCTATGTTAGCTTGAGTGGCATCTCATTAGCTTTCTAACGCAACTTTACTGAGCTCAATTGGTAAAAAATGTGTGAGTATCGCAATTTTTAGGCAACAAGTTCGAAAAGGTCACTGCAAAGAGCCAATAAAATGATTTTTACTCTCTTATGATCCATATTTTCTAGCTTCATTCGTTCGCTCCTCGGAGGTTGATGACAAGAACTCTGTGACACCCATTGTACTTCATTGTTGTAAGACCCTAGAGCAAAAAAAAAAGGGAGAGAGAGAGAGAGAGAGAGAGAGAAATAAATCGCCTGTGGCCAATTAAATAAATAGGTAGAAAACAGCTTAAAAAAATAGTCCTTATAGAAATCGTTTAGAATTGACATACCGATGCCATACAAGATTGTATAAAAGGAACATCAAATGTCTTATTACTACAATTAATCACATTAAAAGATAAATGAAGGTAAAGCGATTTAGTCTGGTTTAAAATTCCTTCTTTACTATCTCTTCAAAATTACTTTTGCATCTTTTGCTTTGAGCGGCACGGAACAATAACAAGATATTCTTTTTGGATTGGGCAACTTTTTGCCGATACTCATGAATTTTTCAAGGGAGCAATGGATTAATGTTAATGCTTACATAAACTAATTTCTAAGTAGCACTCCAGTCCATTTCATCCAGACATTTAGGATGAATAATGATAAGACTTAAATTTCTGCAAGAATTTTGTCTTAATATAACTACTGCATAGTTATGCACCTTACACCGATGAGTACCTTAACTGCATTTATCAAGAAAGTATTTAAATTAGACTAACTCAGTCTTGAAATGATGGCTTCTTTGGCACTTAGATCACCAAAGTACATAAAGTTTCAAGTTCATGATTGCTTATTCAGGTGATCAATGACTTTCCTTGCATTGAGCAAATGTTGAATCATTGCTGATAATTTCTTTCACTCTCCAGTTACAAATAAGTACCTATTCCATACTGAAAGAGAAAATGGAACACATTGTATTATATAAATTGTGATACTTCAAAATTTCTACTCTTCATTTTTGTAAAACAATACAGTGCTCTCTCTCTCTATAACAACACTCATTATGTGGACAATTTCCCTACAATGAGTGCATCATCCAGTCGACATACTTATGTATTCTCGTTGATCGCCACTCATTATTATAAAAAATCTTTCAGTAAGCTGCCCATTCAAACCAGAGAGAGGGCACTGTATTGCTAATAAACAGGGGCTTTTCTAAAAGGGTACATGAGACAAGGAATGTAAAACGGCCGACCAAGAGAACTGGTTTCACAGTAGTTCTACCTATACTTTTTTTAGCGATGCTTTTCTGGCTCAGATTAATGGAAATAAGAGACATTTTTGGGTGGATCAACAGATTTTGGATTGTTTTGTTTTCAATTTTTTTCTGATGAATTGATCATTACAGTGCCTTAAATTGGGGGGGGGGGGGAGGTGTGGATTATGCTCAAACACAAAATTCTACCAAGAGTTGGGCATACTTATGAAAAACTTAATCACAGAATTATGTAGTTGAAACAACTCAGTAAGTACTACACAGACGACTATCGCAATCTGAAAGTGGCGAAAATTATTAATAGTTACATTATACTAATATAATCTTCAAGTTATGTTATGATCAAATTTTTATGAAGAGGCATTTAACATGTAATTGAATTTGCGTTGGAAAAATACATTCATAAAAATTTTGAAATAACACGACTGAACCAAAATGAAATGAAACCAAATGAATGGAAACCAAAATGGGAAACTGAGATCTGACAACCGACAGAGAGATCAGTGGATTACATCAAAGGAAATATTTCCTTAAAAAATTTAGAAAGAGAACGGGAGATTTGGAAACACAAATAGAAATATTTCAATGTGGTAATATCTTGTTTAAGGATGAAATTGAAGTGCGCTTCCAAAAGTATACAGTTGGCAGATGCACATAATTGCGGAAATAATACCTCAACAACAACGACAACAACAAACTGAAAAATGGTGAATGTTTTGATTTTTAGCTTAAAAGATACAATAAATCAGAGTATTTGATTCTTATTTCATTCTTAAAATCCGGCGAAAACTCAGTTAGTCCAAAAGTAATTCTGACAGGATCGCATCTAAAATACAATTACGGATATTGATCTTGAAAAAAAAAAAAAATCGGTTCGTTTTTCTTGAACGCAGTCAGAGTTATTAAGAAACCCTTACTTATATCCATCATCTCAAAATAATTATTTTACATTTAATCAAGACTGCCTATCCCTTTATCACTAGAATTGAGTTTTAAAAAACATATAGTTGCTGTACAATATCAAACTTTCTACATACGACCATGAAAATTTAGAGGCATCATCATGAAAGCATTTGAACAAAAGAGGTCTACCTACTTTGGAAGTTTTGGAAAGAAGGCATGTAACTCTAATAGTTTAGGACTGCTGAAATATGTTTGATAGACACACAATATAGAGTCCATGGCACCTAAATTTATGCACTTTTCGACTATGGCGGAAGGTCTGCTATTTTGATTCTTGCATTTACTTTCAATGCTAAACTTGCGTCACACGATCTTCTGTTGCACGATAAAAGTGCATAAACTTATTTTTCGTTGACTAGAATCCTATGGCAGAAAATTGGCCCTGTATCGGCTGGGCCTTTCCGAAAATCTTCCAATATAGATGGACTCTTTTTACATGAATGCGTCCATTTTTATTCCTAAAGACAAAAGAACAAGTACCTCCAAATCCCGAAATAAAACTAAAAGCACATAAGAGGAAAAACTACAATGAATGGTAAAAATATTCCTCCATCACCAATGGCAATGAAACACATGGCATGGAAAACACCACATAAAAAACTTAAAATATAGGTAACTTCCTATTCCCCTGTGATTTTATTTCGAAATGATCATTTTAATGGGAGCTTAAAATTAAAAAAAAAAAAAATTCCTCAGCAGGACTGAGATGATCACTCAAAGTTTCGAAAACTCGAGGTACATTTACACAGATTTGAGACCTAGGGTAAAAAGTAAAAGTTAAAAAATAATTCTTACCTTCAAGAATACTCCTCAGCGGGTCATATTACAATAAATTAGAAAAATTTATACCACATAATTATACGACTTAAAAAGAAACATTTTTTTTTTTTTTAATCCTTGAAGAAATCCAAAAGAATGATAAAAAATGTTTGGTCACACAGCTCAAAGTTAGCATAGACCTGTTTGAAAATGTACTAATTATTCATTCACTTTTAAAGATACAAGCCTCGGGAGTTCAGTACATACAAATTGGATGTTACATCAGTAGATACAATGGAGAAAATGTATACTGCCATTCTCAGGGAAAATGCTGAATGAACATTTGATACGAGGGTAATCCCACAGGTCTTACGCGTTTTGCTCTTATTTCAAAACTATTAATGATAGGAAAAATCTGATTAGATGCAAATATGAGGCATACTTTCAGCTTTAACTTATTGGGTTGGAAAGTTCATTTAGGAGACGAAAAGTGAATGAAATACATTTATTAAGTGGAAAAAAGAAACACAGCGAATTACAGTTCGGACATGGCGGACATAAAGAAATATCAGAGAAACATAAATGAAGTTACTATTTAGTTGCACTTAATAAATGTAATTAATTTATCTCTCGTCTTATAGTGAACTTTCCAGCCCAAGAAACAAAAGGTTATTGGCCTAGCACGTGAAGTGTTCATCAAACTCGTGCGGATGGAGACAAATGAAGTTTTTGTGACTTCGAACGGAGCGCATGGCATGATGGTGCAGACGGTGCCTAAATGTGACAACGTTTTTTGATGTTTAAAAGCACGGTTTAAAGGTGAAATATTCGCGCAAGTTTCGTGAAAATGACGACGACAGAGTGCAGTGAAGTTCTTAGACGAAGAATAACTCCACTCAATAGTGAGAACTATGCGGTCTGGAGCCATCGAGTACAGTTACCTTACGAAAACGCAAACACTGGGAAGCTGCGGAGCCCGGCATTGACAGGTCCGAGGAGAACTGGATGAATGATCAGGTGAACAAAAAGGACCCCGCACACCTCTTAAAGGGAAGCTGCACCACGAAGAATTGCCTTCTGACTTATGTATTTCAATTCTCCTCAAGATGCTGATCAAAAGTTATAATTGCGCCAACTTTCTATGATGCACCGTTTTCGCAAAAAACCTATGAGTAGATTCAATTATTAACAATTAAAGATGTAAATAGCAAACTCTATCTAGCCGAAAAACAAGCTAAATTGCAAAAAGAAGTTGACGATAAGGATGAGGAGAAGGCATTGCGTTTGGCATGGAAAAACAAACCCAAGAGGAAGCAAGATTCCGACAGGAAGAACGTCATCCGTTTTGGGAGTAATATCTCTGGACATATCTCTAGAAACTGTCCTAGTTTCAAGAAGGATTCTGGTGGTCAAGCAAGTGCATCCTCTAAAGCAACTGCAACTTCGTGGCCTAACAAAGATTCTGATTCTGGTGGTTCATCCCATGGTGCATCTTCACAGCGATCAGGTGAGACAGCGAAAGTCGTCATATTACAAAATTCTAGTATGAATAATGATAGTTCAGCCGAAGAACTTATTGCTCTGGCTGCAGGGAGAAGTAAGGCGAGAAAGGGAATCAAAGGTATGTGGGTTATTGATTCTGGTGCTACACACCTCGTGACCCCCTTCAGGGCTATAATGACTGATTTTGACGAAAGCATAAAAGGGAATATGATTGTTGCAGATGAGGAAGAAGTGTCAGTGGAGGGTAAAGGTAGCATTGTAAATGACCTCCTGAGCGTCCTGTTCTTCCAATTTTTAAAAACTTGGGCTTAAATTGAAGCTGAAAGTATGCCTTATGTGCGCATTTAATCGGATTTTTCCTATCTTTAGTAGTTTTGAAATGAGAGCAAAACGCGCAAGACTTTTGGAATTACCCTCGTAGTTGCGAGAAATATTCCGATTAAACATAAATTTTTGGGGGAAGTTATGCGTACGTTTCTTCAAAATTTTTAGTTGTTCAATTGTTGAGTTTTCCAAAAAATTCTGGTTTTGTTAAAGGAAATATGGCAACGCCTGAAGGCCGATTCGGCTTTTTCTCTTGACACGACAGTATAAGAGAGGGGGAAAAAAAATCATTAGTTGAAAATACGGCTATGCAAATATTCTACAGCACTAATTATCAAACTAGCCTTTGCTGTGGATAACCAAGCCAAAAATTAGAATTTTGCCAAAGAGCGGTTGAAAACTACCTATGGAACCAGCTTCAAAAAAAAATGTTCACTGGCAAGAATTCAGATAAGATACGTGCCACCTCCAACACGTTGTTGTTATTGGCAAAGAGAAGAAAAGAAAATTCCCTAGAAAGCTACTGTATCTGTGATTAGCAAAAGTTCATATTCATTGTGGACATTCAGATTATTTGAGAACATTTACACTGTTTAAAATTATTTGTATACATACCAGGTAATAAAGTAGTCCCAGCTATTTACGTTGAACTCACTATTTGCATAGCCTTAGTCAAAATCAAATAAAAATATTGAAAATGTTACTGAATTTTGCGAGGAAATATATCAATGCGGTTATGTGATAATCTTTCAAGATCAGCTTCAATGATCTCCAGCGTTTGAGAGATACTGCGAAAGCTAGGACGCTCAAACGGCTTGCGATTCCAACACATGACCATTAGGTCATAAACAGGTTGCGGCGTGTGATCAGGGCAGTTAAGGACACGTCCGTCTTTGATGTATTTGACCACCTGAAAGAGATCAAAGATGAAATTTCATTGAATCAAGCAAGGAGTTTTCATTACTGTTCTAATACAATTGCATGACAGAATAATATACTAAAATGGAATTCTATTTTGGAACAGAACCGATTAGGTTGATCTAGGCATAATTCATAAACCATATCATCCTTGTTTCTTGGAGCCATGTTTTAATCTCAAATCTGATCTTTTTGAATGTTCAACTGTATCTATTTATGGAAAAAAAAGAGAGAAAAAAAGTGGAAATATAAATTACCTAAGAGAACATTTAGAAAGGATATAATTTATGACTGACAATCCATCTTTCATCAGAATAAAACTGTGAAATTTCTTCTTCTTTTTTTTCCACTTACCTACACTGTAGGTAAATTATTTAGAGAAGAAGTAGACCACCGGCAACCTTGCAGATGCGATAACAGAAACCTGAATAACAGTAGGTACTCAAAATGTCGGCAATTTTTGAAAACGAAATGGTCTGTAAGCAGTAGAGGAAGAGGTTTCTGAAACAGATGCCGTAAAATTTTTCATTCTCTGATGTATCCCAGTTTTTTCTGCTAGTTCCCTGTCCCGGAAAACACGGTTTTAGCCAAGAGAGTCTCATGGTTGCCAGCTGAAATCTTGAAGGCTATTAAGAAGAAAGAATAAGATGTAAACTGACCTCTTCGTGCGTCATGCCATAGTAGGGCTGGAGGGCAAAGGAGAAGATTTCCCACAGGCAAACTCCAAAGGCCCATATATCTGACTCAATCGTGTACTTATTATAAAGGATACTCTCCAGAGGCATCCAGCGCACAGGGATCGCATCCTGCTCATCTCCCTTGTAATAGTCCTGCAAGTAGATCTTCTGTGACAGCCCAAAGTCAGCAATTTTCACAACCATGGAGTCACTGATTAGGCAATTCCGTGTAGCCAGGTCACGATGCACAAACTTCCGATCAGATAGGTACACCATACCTCCACAAAAAAACAAAAAAAACAAATTGATAATCGTAGTTCATATGTGTAATACAGAAGAACTTTTCCTGTCGTATTTTTCAAACATACTGCTCAGAACTTGTATCAACATATTTTCTAATCATTCGGAAAAGCTTCAAATGGTCTAAAAACTGGAAAAAGAAGAAGTTCCTTGCATATTCATACATTAGAACCATTTCAGTTCTCTTGGGCTTATTACGTTCCTTTTTTGCAATTTGAACAAGAAAAGGGGGATAGGGGCGTATAAGGCTACTTTAGAATCAACGGTTTTTCTTTTCCTTCTTTTTTCAGGCAAAAAAAAATTTAAGTAGTTGAAATTTGGAAAATGTAAGATTTGAATTTCAAATAAATAGAAACGAGGATAAATAGCTAGGAAATCAAGAGTAAAGAGATGATGATGAGTGAATACAACAATATATGTATTCCCTTTGTAATAAGTCATGCTTTTCCATTCATAAATTGAAGAAACTTGAGGCTGTAAGATAAAAACACCAAGTTGTACTTCCATTTTTATCAGTCTTTAATTTTTTATGGTCTGCTTTTCTTTGTTCTTGCTCCAAACTTTAGGAAAATACTGCAGCCTTTTAAGTCCTAAAAAAAAGAGTCAAAATTCCTTTCATACTCCTGTTTCATGAGCTGTAAGAATAAATGGAGGAAAAGAAAAATTGGCACTGAAGTAAAATGTGTCAGTTCATACGTAAGAGCTCCCTCTCAGCAGAGTTGGCAGAGGATACGTGAAAAGCTCTATTTCAACTCCCTTTTTCACCAAGAAATCATGATGGAAAACTTCCAAAATTGTTTTAAAATTATTAATTCAATCCTGAAATTTTCATCAACACGAAGAAATTTTTTCACGAATTTTTAAAAAAACCCGTATTTACATGTATTTGACATGGGGCGAACCTGGGTGTATACCATGTGACATCACAAAGTCCTAGTTTGAAAGAGCAGGGAAAGACCTGTTTCAAATGGCTTTTGATTTTGAGGAGCTTTTTCTTAAAGTTCCGATAACCGGAAATTTTTTTTTTAAAATACCCCAATACTCAGTAGACCTCCAACTTTTAGAAATTGAATTGAAAAAATTCCATGCAACTACCCCATTCTAGAGCCCTGGCAACACTGTTTTGCCTCCATTTATATGTAGGTAAAACAATCGATCCTAAAATCGGTATCTTTAATGGATTTAAACAGAGGAAATACAGTGTTATCAACTTTTAAGAATTGCCACTGCCTCTCCGTGATACAGAGCTTCATTATGTATTGAGTAAAACTAAACTCCACTCGTGTTTTTTAGGTTTCAGTGGGGCATAGGGAAGTCAGAGATGAAAGACCTACCTGCTGCAATTTGCTGAGCGATTCGGACCATATCGAGTACCGAGAGGCGAATGTTGTTGGTCGGAACAATATAGTTGATTGGTGAGCAGGACCGTAAGAACTCATTGAGATCTCCTCGTCCCATGTACTCGAATAGAAGGCACATTGGTTTCCCTACAGCACAGACTCCCAGGAGTTTCACGATATTTGGATGGTCGAATTCAGCAAGCAGGCATGCCTCACGTTCAAAGTCAACCTGCAGGTCTTCCGATGCCTCATCTTTCAGCATCTTCACTGCCACCATTGTAAACTCTTCTCCTTTTAGCAGTCCTGGTGCTTTTGCCTGAAACATTTCAATTTATTCAGTTGAGTGAACGAAGTTTGATTCTATCATTTTTGTTTCAAATCTTACTGCTCACTCAGTAAAAAGAGGCTAAATGCTACAGCCATGGGTTCTTTGGGAGAACCATGAAATCGAAAAGGTGTAAAAGCCAGCAACATGGAATTTCACAAGAGATAGCATTCTTATCAATGAATTTTTAGGATTTTAAGTGCTGCCAAGTAGAGAAATACATGGTGAGAGGAATAACAAAGGTTTGAGTAGATTCTGAATAAAAATTGCTTCAAGTTGACAAGTTCTTTCATATTAAGGAATATGCTGTAAAAAGTTCATCACATGTTGTCTCAAATTACTTCAGTAAAACTTCTCAGCCATTCAAAAATGAAGAGGCTTCAAGAGCTAGGAATGATCCTTTTTTAAGTCTGTGCAATTGCAAATTTCAATAATGCTGGTCTTAGTTTCAGGGTAGTTTTAAGATTGGTTACAGCAGTTGACTGAATTCAATGGATGGCGACTGAATTCATGTAACTTTTAACAGGACTGCTAATGGGTAGCATAGGCTTCAAGCTAAAACTTTGATTAAACATCTCCTGATAAGAAGAGGCCTTCAACAGAGCATAATTAATGGCTGGAAAAGATTGAGGGGTCCTCCCTCAGAATCCTATCTCAAAATTTTTAAATACGAAGAGTTGGCATCGGCATTAAGAGATATTCATTACAAATTCAGAGCTTTTAAAATAAATAAATTCTTCAAGACTCAAAAAAGATGAGACGGAGAAGTTGACTGAAGAAATTAAAATTATCGAGTCTCCAAAAACAGATGAATCTCAGAGATATACTTACTTGAAAAACACGACCAAAAGCTCCTTGGCCAAGGTCACGAATGTAAATGATGTCATTTCGAGGAAATTCAAGTTTTTCTAGCTTTGGGTTTAGACTAATGCCTGTTTTGTGATATGAGGCATTGTTAGGTAATTTTTCCAAATCGATGTTAACATCCTGAAAAAAATCATAGCATTCTGACAATTAGAAGTTAAACAAGGGTTGAGTTTTTAAGAATAAATGCATTATGTTCCCTGACTTGAGACATAAACAATTATGTCAAAATATTAACGATGAAATTATCACAAAAGCATCATTGACACGGTTATCATCAAATCACCGCCTAATTGAAAATTTCGGCCCAAATGAGTTAGCAACTTTGCCCTGTCCTTAAGTATAAAATACCCAGGCTGATGTTATTAGTTTCTCCCAATTAGGCAAAGGAACACTGTAGTGACGCTGTCATTTGTGGGGGGAAATGGCAAATCCAACCTCAAAATTACAAGAATGGCGAAGTTTTTTCTTCGTTTTGCAAAATCGTTGGTTTGCAGATTGGCGGTATTGTTCTTTAGCCATAAGGATTAATCCTGTGTCACACTATCAAAATACTCCATCAAAATGTCAAGGTCAATTGGTCCAAGTCATCGAATAAGTCAATCACAACTCCTGACCAGGGCCCCTGAGCATAATTTGTGAGCACTGCTCAAAATCAATGCTCACTAATTCGCTGCTGAGTAGAGCAATAAGTAAGCGGTGCTGTCGAGCCGTCCCACGAGCGAGAAGCATACAGAGCCAAGAAGAAGAATTGGGATTTGAGCAAGAGCAGTTATCGCTGGGAATAACACTCAAGTCACGGGTGCGGGCAGGTACCTAGCGGCCGACGATTTGAGCTCAAATCTGAGGGTGATTTGAGCCCGCTGAATTATGCTCACTGCCCTCGCTGAAAATGATCAATTAAGCACACGTTGGCAGTGCCACTTTTTCTGCCTGCATGCTGCACCTTTTACCGCGGCTGCGGTGTACGCGTGTGCTGTTGCTTCGCCTAAGCTGTGCCTTCGCCTATGACTGTAGCAACCCCTTGTTAGACGGGGGTTGGGGAATTTTGAGGTGTTACAATTTTGGTCAAGTAAATCTCAGTTTATGAGCGGTGGTCGTTGAGCATAACTCGCCGGGCTGAAATAATGCTCATTGAGCGTAATTCCAGCCGCAAGTGAATTACCCTCCCTCTCGTCTTCAACACTATACCTGCCACAGCCTTCAGCTCTCTCGCAAAGCGTGCACTAAGTTGAGCACTATTCGATTCGAATCAATTTGAGGCGTTAACGCTGAGCGTTTTTATTTATCTGCTCGGGTACTGGACCTGAGCAGCGATTTGAGCATATATATTTGTGCTCAGGGGCCCTGCTCCTGACCTTGATATTTTGATGGTTAGCTTTGATAGTGGGACACAGGCTTTACACTATTAAAGTTAGGATGGTGAAATCTAACGTTAATCAGTATGTTTTGAAGAAGGTACTCACTTGTGTTGGAGCAGGTTGATATGAGAACCTCTGAATGAAAAAGCAACAGCACAGACAAAGAAATGTGAGAAAAACCAGTACTGCTGATGCCATGAGGATTATTAGCGTCCCAGAAATTTTGCTGTGGAGCTCTTCTAACAAATTTGGAGCCTCTGTTGGGACTGTCTTTTTTTCTGAACAAAAATACACGCAAAGAAACGAATATTAATTTCCTAAAATGTCAAAGAAGTCTGATGATCATGTAAAGGAAAAAAATATCATGATATTATTCAATGCAAATATGAAAGAGACAACCAATTGAGCTGGTTTGTGCACAAATGTAGTCCTTTACTCTTTGCATGACCCAGATGATTCTGCATACAATTTTCATTTTCGTTGATGGGCCCTGAGCAACCAATTCGTCTTAGGTATTATTATAAGCTATTTGAGAAGTTAACTATTGCTGGAACTTCTTGGTCCTTTGAAACATAGAGGTAAGATTCTGTGGGCAAAAAAAAGTGGGACGGGAGATTATGAGTACCTTCACTTGGGTTCTCACTCTCTCCTTCTCATCCACAACTGGTTCATATGCTATAAAAAAGGATCACAGGCCAGGAAACTGTCATTTGTTGGTGAATTCTTTGCTTGCTTTTGTTTGCGTTTATACCTGCAACTCTGCGCCTCTGTTTAGACCTGATTTTATAAGTTCAGTTGAAGTTTTAATGTGATTTTTCTGTTTGACTTGAATTTGTGCATTAATTCTTACCACAATGACTTGTTATATAACCTAAAAATGCTCATTTACTTTCATTAGAAAACAAACTAAATTATTACCACATGCTGGAATATCACAATGCTGCCAACGCATCGTGGAGTTCATTGTGTAGCACCAAGGGGATGACTCCTCGCCGCCAGCATTGCGGCAATAATTTTCAGAATTTTGCACTTCTGGGAAGACATTTGGAGGTCTAATGTGCTCATGGGGCTCTTGTGAGTCCCAATGCTGACACGGTAAGCCATCTTTTGTTTTATTAACATATCCCTGATAGAACCGACCCCTTCCTTGCACACAATCATCTGTAAAAATAATTATAAGAAATTAGAACATAAATTTGGTAAATTTAGTAGTAACCAAGCCAGACGTTATTTCTCCTTATGCTTTATCTGATAAATAGAAAAGTCAACATTCCTACTCAAAGTTTTTTAACAGTATTTTGTATTAGTTTTAGAAAATTCACAAAAAGCTTTAAGGCATTGCGTTGTTTTCATTTCCGTCAAAAAAATAAAAAAGTATGACGGGAAATTAGGCAGTATGTCGTTTGGCAGATTCTTGTTAAATATGACCAATTATTATTATTTGTGGATTCAAAAATGACAAGATTGAACTGGAAAAATGTAAGTATGTATAAGCCGCTTTTACGGCGCGCTAGGGCACTCTGCGACGCCTATCCGCCACATGAATCTGTCATGGTAGAGATCCTCCGGAAGCTGGCATCTCTCCATCTCTTCATAGGTGTCCTCTACCCACTGTTTGGCTGGACGCCCTCTCCGTCACCTACCTGGAGGGACCCACTCCAACACCTTCTTCGGCAACCTGGTATCAGCCATTCTCTGCACATGCCCATATCATACCAATCGCTTGGTCATGATATTGTGCACAATTGTCCCTTCAACGCCCATTATCTCTCATGTACACTTTCATTCCTGATACGTTCCCTCCTCAAGATTCCAGTCGATCTTCGCCAGAAATCCATCTCTGTTGCCTTGAGCATTTCTTGGGTCCGCTTCTTCAACTGCCACACTTCACTGCCATAGGTGATTATAGGCTTGACAACCAAGTATTAAATCCTCTTTTTGTTGTCCTTGGAAATCCTTTGGTCCCAAAGAATCCCATTCAGATTTCCTTTCTTGAAGAATGCGTCCCCAAATGGCCTGATCCAACTTCCCATCCAAAAAAATAAAAAGTAAAATAAATAAAGATTTTCAACGATTCATTGAAAATTTAGGAAATGCACTTACAGGTAATTTCACTGGTCTTCATTTCTGTCAATTTTGCATGAGAACAGACTGCAGTTCCACTTTGGAAACGGGGTAGATTTTCACAAACCGGAAGGCGAAAGTGTTTCCGACTCCTAAGGAAAATATTTTTTCTCTTGTTTTCCTCGATTAAAGCCCAGTCATTGTAGCAGAACTGGTCTCTCACAGCAATGCAGTCTTCATAACATAGCGGCAAGCTCCTTCTGGGTCCAGTTTGTTGACACACAGGAAAAGCATACAGACAGAGTAATTTCTGGGGGAGAAAAAACCACATTTTTAAGTCAATTTTTTTTTTCCTTTTTCTCTTTTTCTTTAATGTGTTGCATATTTCAGGGATAGGCTCCAACTCAGGAATGAGGGCATGAGAAAAGGGCTTTGTTATACGTACCTTTCAAAGTAGAAAAAATATATTTTCTTCTTCATTTCTGACGAAATGATAAAGTATAAAAAAAGTTATAAGATAAAAATTCTTACAGTAAAAAATACAAAGAATGGCATTATTTTAATAGAGGTTTTTCAACTTAAATGGAGAGCAGAGGCCTGCAGTTTCCGGCAAGCAAGGCAAGTTTCCCTAAAATTTCTTTTGATATATTCCTTACTCAACGCAATATCATATATCTGACGTTATGATGATGACACAGAACAGGTTAAGACCACAAGTCAAATGTGATATCAATGATGTACGAGACAACGTGACAGAAGTTCACTTAAACCCTGCTGCTGTGATTTTCCATCCATGATACATAAACCTATCCACAGCAAAGTTCGTGATTGCAAGCAGTTTTGTTCAAACATATTTTGGACGCCATTACAAAAGCAAATGTTATTTTTCCTTGAAGCAATTGTATCATGTTTAGCATTTTTTGTGCCTAGAATTAATGGAAATAACTATTTGCACACTTAATTGAGTCATTATCCCACCATTAGATCATCCCACCGGTCAAAATCTTGACTTTTCAAATCCAAGATCTGACAAATGGGACAAAAAAAAAAAAAAGACTATATATTTCAGTCTAAAATAGAACCAAGCAGCTCAATGATATTAGGTAGTATACTTTGAGTTCTTTTTTTTATTATTTTATTTTAAGTGGATGACCGAAAATTAAGTTTTAAAAAGTAAGTTAATGGACCACTAGACAAGGTACGAATTTCAGCACTCTGATATATGTTCCGTAACCAAAATTTCACGTAGAGCATGATGCGCACAATGAAAATTATCAATCAACTCCTCACAACGATATTTAATGATTCTTGATGCGTGAATTCAAACCACCCGCTCATGAAAACACAATGCTCTACGTGATTCACATCGCGCGCTAAACGTTATCAGTATCTGCGATATAAAAATCTGGCAACCTTAATCTTGACGCTTTGGCTCAGCTACAGCAAATTGCCTATAGTTCGATCAACACATGGTGGGAAATGAATATTGCTCGATTAAGAAACTTGCTGAGACCGTTGTCGTGCGCGATTTGACTCACGTAGAGCTTTGAGTTTCTTGTGAGCGGGCAGTTCAAATTCCTCGTAACCAATGTTAAATAAAAACGTTAATATCTTCGTTTAGAATTTGTTTCAGTAATTTTCATTGCGCGAATCGTGTTCTACGTGAAATTTTGGTTGAGAAACATGTATCGGAATGCTTAAATTCGTACCTTGTCTAGTGATCCATTATTGAATTTGTATTTTTTCCCATACAAAAAATATTAAGGTGGATTTTTTAATCACCAATTATTTTCTTGGCTTGAGTTAAATTTTCAAATGCTACAAAATTACCTTGGCCGCATGCTGACAATTAACAGGCAAATGAACGATCAACTCATCCCACAAACCGGTCACAATGTCCTCATTCACTTGACCACCTTCGCTCTTGCCTGCGTTGCTGAACCATACATAGACATTTGGATCCAAGTAGTTTTTACAAATTTTGCCTGCATACGTGGCACAAATTCCTTCGGGCTGGTTCAAATCACCTTGCCCACTATCTACTGCAAAATTGTTCAGATGAAAATCACAAGAGAAAATATTGATTTAATTTCAGCTTTTAGCCACAATGTACATCTGTGGTATATCAACATAGATATGATTAATTTTAAGTGACAAAGTATTCACAGGCATCTAGGCTTAATCATTATTGCAGAGGATTAGATGCTTACTAACTATTTGATTTAAAGAGGTCATTATGCTATGCATGAAAAAATTGTTGGGTAGAATGAACTGCTGCGACTGTTACAGGTGCATTGTTCTATATTTTGTCACCTTCTGGCCAAAGTATCACAAGCGCCATGCAATGTTTAAAAATTTCCGCCGCCATTTTATTTTTTTACAGAAAAATTGTTCACTGAAGCTGTCCAAAAATTTCACTGAATATTTTTTTGGGCTGACGATAAAATTCAGTGAAATTTTCAAACAGATTCAACTGACAATTTCACTGTAAAAAAATAAAATGGCGGCGAACATTATGATATGTCGTATGACGCTTGTAAAACTTTGGCCAGAAGGTGACGATATCAGCTTTGAAACCAAAGGCATCCTGTTGCCTGAGGCTGATTGCTGAGACTTTTGCCAACACAGTACATTGAAAATTGATACATTACATGCTCCTGTTAATGGAGTAAATGGTGGTGCAAAGGCTGAGGAGTGAAAAGGGTAGTGCATTGCGTTAACGTTCCTCTAATAAATTTTATTAAGAAGTAAGATTTTATTAAAATTTAAGTTCTAAAGTGAATAGTAATATCGCCATCTTTCTCTCCAAGACTTAGGAATCATACTCAGGTAATTCTATTATTAATTCACTTCCTTCAGGTTTGATTTTTAGGAGGTAAAAACTAATATAAAGGTTCACGGCATAGCCAGATTTATACACAAGCCATCACAGCTGCAGCCTAGGGTAAAAATAAATGTTTGAAGGGAAAAACAAAATTGGGCGCCGCAGCAAACACCCTGCTGCCAGAAGGACGGAGAGGCAAAGAGACGATTCAATCCAGAGGAAGTAGGTGCAAGGTGATGACTAAGTAATCGGCTCAAGAAATAGGTAATGAGAGGCTTAAATTCTGCACAAAAAAATGTGTTAGATATGCTTACGAACAGCATAACCCCCTCCTGACAATGGGTGCAACAAAGTTTTGACAGCATAGGAGTGGCCATGGCTCAAAGAGCAACTTATTTTAATTATTCTTGGAAAACCTGATTGAATACGAAAACTTTGGTAAATTTTAGATAGCTATCAAGGCCTATTTAAAGCCTTGGCTTAGAGCAAGTGATGAGAGTTTAAGATGGTGGAAAAGTAGCAATACTCACATGTTTGAGCGATCACAAGTTGTAGAACTAAGAGTAAAACAAGAGGGAGCTCCCAAACAAGAGAAAAAGTGAACATAGTGACCAATTGATAGAGGTTCAACCACCATTAGTCATTTCTTGTCCTAATTACTGATGGCGTTTTGCTCATCAATGTCAGCACCAGTTATTAATCCAACCTGGCATCTAAAAATAAATTTAAAAAATGCACCTGTGAGTTGATTTCAATACATCAATAGCTCAGAGTAAAAAGGTTATGATTAAAATTGTAGGAAAATTTAAATTATTGATTAGTGTACTTAATATTCTGAAGTGGGACTCTCTAAATAATACTGACACAAGAACACAAAAATCAAATGGAAAGCTGAACGAAAAGTTGGAACAAAATATTCCAACCACCATTAGCCAAAATTGCGTCTTTGTAAACCCGGAGTTGATGACGATACCTAAGTGCCAACAGACAAAAAGTTAGATGACGACAGTAATTGAATCAAATTTCATTACATTCAACTTCCCATCCAACTTTACGTCCACTTTAGTAGGATGAAAAATTTGACAGTCTGAATTGGATTTTGGTACCTACACACGATATCAGAACGAGACAGAAAATTAATCTTGGTTCTAATACTTTTTTTATGCTATTTGTTGGGCCATAGCAATGCCATAGATCTTCGCTCCACTCAACATGAGTGGAAACTCATTTTGAATGGATTCTGCCTGAATGAAAGATAACAAATCATTAAGTGCCCAGCGGTAGAACATCAAGGGAGATTATCCGTGAGTGGAACTATGTGGTTGCAAGATTGCAATTCCAAAAGATCTGAATATATTCCAATGATGCGTAAATTATGTGGATATCGATAGATCTAGCTAGATGGAAGTAAAATAAATGAAATAAATAAAAGAAATCTACCTTGGTTAGCCTTCTTGTCACTTCGGCTTAAGGGAAACAATCAACAACATTGTAAAGAAATAGAGGGTAACCACTGACCACAGTTTACACTACGCTATAAAAAAAACGTAAGAAAAATGTAAAATATATCAATTAAGCCTAAAATCATCAAAATATTTTGGCGGTGTGTTGATTAAGAATTCCCCGAGCAAGATGAAAAAAAAGATTGAGATAGAATAGAATACGAACCGACCCAAAACAAACTGTACCACAGACTATGACAGAAGAGAAGTAAAGAGGATAACCTTCCAATCTTTTCTGTGGGCATTCTGGAGATGTAAGGACTCTTGTCAGCCAATGAACATTCAGAAGTAGCAGGCGCAGCCACTGCTTCACGCTTTACATAACTCAACTTCGCGACAACCCGTCATACTCATAATCGTTATCCATAATGTACAAATGACGCAACATTGGAGGAAAAACAACGCAAGTCCCTCCGGACGATTTCCATTCTCTCTCGCACTCATACGCTAGACGCTGGGCGATTTTCTATCTCTCTCGCACACTTAAGCAAGCTGCCTGCTCGTTTTCTGTCTCCCTCGCACAGCCAAGCGTCCCTCCAGGCGATTTTATATCTCTCTCGCACCCTTGGGCGTCCCGCAAAAATGGGCGACCCGGAGCGCAACCACTCGTAGAGGGTCGCGGGGGATCGTGATGCAGCTTTGGAAGAAAAACAACGCAAGTCCCTCCGGGCGATTTTCTTTCTCTCTCGCACTCATATGCTAGATGCTGGGCGATTTTCTATCTCTCTTGCACACTTAAGCGGGCTCCCTGGCTGTTTTCTGTCTCTCTCGCACACATTAGCGAGCTCCCTGGCTGTTTTCTGTCTCCCTCGCACTCATTAGCGGGCTCCCTCGCAGTTTTCTATCTTTCTCGCTCACTTCAGCGTTCCGCCGGGCGATTTTCTGTCTCTCTCGCACACATTAGAAGGCTTTCCTGCCTGTTTTCTGTCTCTCTTGCACTCATTAGCGGGCTCCCTGGCTGTTTTCTGTCTCTCTCGCACACCCAAGCGTGTGAGAGTAGGGTGCAACCGCTCTCAGAGGGTCGCGGGGGAACGCCGTGCGCCTATGACGGAAAAACCACCCAAGTCCCGTCTGGCTATTTGCTGTCTCTCTCGCACTTATACGCTTGCTACCTCCGCGATTTTTTGTCTCTCTCGCACACTTTAGCGAGCCGCCTGGCTATTTTCTGTCTCTCTCGCACACAATCGCGTTGTGCAAGGCGATTTTCTATCTCTCTCGCACTTATACGCTTCCTACCTCCGCGATTTTCTGTCTCTCTCGCACTGGAAACGGGGCAACCGAGGGTGCAACCACTCTCGGAGGGTCGCGGGGGAACGCCGTGCGCCTTTGCCGGAAAAACAACGCAAGTCCCGCCTGACGATTTTCTTTCTCTCTCGCACTTATACGCGAGACGCTTGGCTATTTTCTATCTCTCTCGCACACTTAGGCGAGCTGCCTGGCTATTTTCTATCTCTCTCGCACACAATCGCGTCGTGTCAATTTCAATTCCAAGCGAGCTTTCGTGGTTTCGGCCGTATCAATGAACTTTCGATTGTGAC